AGTGTTGAGTAGAAACGGATTGAAAATTTTGTTGAATAGGGGAGAAGGATGCAACACAACACAAAATATTGTGTATATACAAGTCTTACATAATAACGATATCTTCTTTTAAAGCAAATTAAATGAATGATACTTCACACATTAATATTTTCATACTTTACACATTACTATGGGAAAAATAATTAAAATTAGCGCCGGCACAGTTAGCCGGCACGTCACCAGTCCACTACCATCTTCCACCAGCGCCCAGTCAGCTGCCACGTCAACGCCCAGTCAGAGCCACCTCACTGCCACGTCATCTGCCACATCACCGGTCAGTTTTTAAATTTTGAAAAAATGCAGTTTGGTCCCTCAATTTTTGGAAAATTATAATTTCCACCTATAATTTTTCAAAAATTATATTTTGACCCCGAAAGTGTCTACCCCACCATTTTCGGCTGTTCCAGACGCAACGGTGCTGCTCGTTTTTCAAAAGTCTGCTCCGATTTTTCTAAAACAGAAAATCAAAATTATTTAGAAGGTGAAAATGACCTTTGACGAGTCAACTTCATCTTCCGGAGCTATGATTATGCTCACGGCTACAAACTACACGCTATGGAAACCTCGGATGGAAGATTTCCTTAGCTGTAAAGACCTTTTTGATCCAATAGAGATGAAAGGTATTAATCCTGACCCGCCCAAGTCAATGGAGTGGAAGCAAATTAATAGAAAAACTATTGGTCAAATCCGACAATGGATCGACCATAGTGTCTTCCACCATGTTGCACAAGAAACCGACGTTTATTCCCTTTGGAAGAAGTTAGAAGATATGTACCAAGTCAAGACCGCTAGGAATAAAGCCCTACTGACGAGGCGCCTTATCAATATGAAGCTCAAAAGTGGAACTTCTGTTGCCGAACATACTAGTCAATTTCAGAGTCTGGTAAATCAACTATCTTGTGTAGAAATGCCACTTGGAGATGAAATGCAATCTCTACTACTTCTTAGTTCCCTTCCTGATAGTTGGGAGACACTAGTTGTTACGCTCAGCAACTCAGCCCCAGATGGCAAACTTACCATGTTTGTGGTCAAGGATGCGTTGTTCAATGAGGAGGCAAGAAGGAAAGACATGAGCACAGATCAGACTCATGCCCTTGTGACGGAGAATCGAGGAAGATCACAAGGAAAGCAACAAAGAAACAGTAGAGGAAGTGGCAAAGCAGAGGCAAAAGTCGGGGGAGATCATCAGATGGCCGGAAACCTTCTTATACCTGCCACCATTGCGGTATAGAGGGTCCCATGAAGAAGAATTGCTATAAATTGCTAGAGGAGCGAGTCAAGAGCAATTCTCAAGCGAAGAACAAGGGTGGTGAAGCGCTCATCACAATCTCAGGTGATGTGGCGTATTGTACTATCAATGATGAAACATGCCTTCACATCTCAAGAGATGACACTGAATGAGTGGTAGATACTGCAGCATCCTACCATGTTACTCCCCACAGGTACTACTTCACAACTTACAAAGCTGGAGACTTTGGAGCAGTGAAGATGGGCAATTCCAGTTCCTCTGGAATAGCTGGAATTGGTGATGTACAAATAAAGGCGAGTACTGGGAGCACAATCACTTTGAAGGATGTCAGACATGTTCCAGAACTTCGGCTCAATCTCCTATCTGTGGTATGTCTTGACGAACAGGGGTATGACAACCACTTTAACAGGGGCACCTGGAAAATGTCAAAGGGCGTTTTGACAATCGCTCGAGGACATGTTTGTGGCACATTGTACAAAACTCATTTGAGGATTTGTACGGATAGCATCAACATTGCTGAGGAGGCTTCTCAGGATATGTGGCACCTGAGACTCGGTCACATCGGTGAGAAAAGGTTGACTACCTTGATGAAGAAGAACCTTATCAACATCGACAAGAACGCTGCACTGGGTCCTTTCAGTCATTGTCTGTTTGGTAAGCAACATAGAGTATCATTTAGTTCTACTTCAACTAAAAGATCGGAGTTGTTAAGTTTGGTACACTCCGATGTCTGTGGTCCTTTCGAGGTGGAATCGATCGGTGGGAGAAGATATTTTTTGACTTTTATCGATGATGCTTCTCGGAAAGTGTGGGTGTATTTCCTGCCGACGAAGGATCAGGTCTTCGAGAGCTTCAAGACATTTCAAGTCTTGGTGGAACGTGAAACAGGAAAGAATTTGAAATGTCTCCGATCTGATAATGGAGGCGAATATACATCCAAGGCGTTCGATGCATATTGCAGAGAATATGGCATTCGACATGAGAAGTCAGTACCACGCACCCCTCAGCACAACGGCGTTGCTGAAAGAATGAACCAGACTATCATGGAGCGTGTCCGGAGCATGATAAATATGGCTAAACTTCCGAAGTCATTTTGGGGAGAAGCAGTCAACACCACATGCTATCTTATCAACCAATCACCTTCAGTACCACTGCACTTTGAAGTTCCAGAGAGGCTATGGACAGGTAAGGATCCTACATACTCACATCTTAGAGTATTTGGTTGTTCATCATATGCACATGTATCCAAAGAGCTCAGGCAGAAGCTCGATGCAAGAACTATCCCATGCATTTTCGTTGGCTATGGAAATGAAGAGTTTGGATACATGTTATGGGATCCTAAGGAGAAAAAGGTGTTCAGAAGTAGGGACGTTGTGTTCCACAAATATTTGACAATAGTAGACATTGAAAAACCCACAATGTCTCGGAAGTCAAATGAGGGTGCTGAAGTTTCAAATGAAGCACCTGAATTGTTCTTGAGAAACAATGATGAAGTGCATGAAAACAACTCAGAAGCAGAAGAGGATGAGGAGACAGAAGAGAGTGCAGAGCAAGGGGAGTCACAACCCACCTCGCTAGTCACAGAAGATGGTAGCTCTTCTCAAATGGTTCCAACTGTTCGTAGATCTGAACGAGGCCATATACCATCGAAAAGGTACACATCATCTGAATATCTTTTGTTGACAGAAGATGGAGAACCAGAGAGTTTTCAAGAAGCTGTGTCTCATAAGGATAAAGAAAATGGCTAATAACAATGCAGGATGAGTTAGAATCTCTACAGAAAAATCAAACTTATGAGATCGTGGAACTTCCCAAAGGGAAGAAGGCATTGAGAAACAAATGGGTGTTCAAGTTGAAGAAGGATGCAACCGGACAAGTGGTGAAATGCAAATCTCGGTTGGTTGTCAAAGGATTCCAACAGAAGAAAGGAATTGACTTTGATGAGATCTTTGCACCAGTTTTCAAGATGACCTCAATCCGAGTTATACTTGGCTTGGTAGCAAGTATGAACTTGGAACTTGAACAGATGGATGTGAAGACAACATTTCTTCACGAAGATTTGAAAGAAGAGATCTACACGCAACAGCCAGAAGGTTTTGAGAACTCAAATGATAACTTTGTGTGTAAGTTATCTAAAAGTTTGTATGGCTTGAAGCAGGCACCAAGGCAGTGGAATAAGAAGTTCGACTCATGCATGAAGAGTCAAGGCTACAAGAAGACTACTGCAGATGAGTGTGTATACATCAAGAAACTTCCAGACGGTAACTTCATTGCTCTTCTACTGTATGTAGACGACATGTTGATCGTTGGGAAAGATGCAGCGAAGATAAACCAACTGAAGAAAGAACTCTCTAAGTCTTTTGATATGAAAGACTTAGGACCAACTCAACAAATTTGTGGGATGCGTATCACTCGAGACAGGAAGAATCGCAAGTTATGGCTTTCTCAAGAGAAGTACATTGAACGAGTACTTGAGAGATTCAACATGAATGATGCCAAACCAGTTAGTGTTCCACTTGCGATTCACTTCAAGTTGAGCAAAAGAACATGCCCTACATCCAAGGAAGAGACCGGGGAGATGTCAGCAGTTCCATATTCTTCAGCAGTTGGGAGTTTGATGTACGCCATGGTATGCACAAGGCCAGACATCGCACAAGCAGTGGGTACAGTGAGTCATTTTCTCTCTAACCCTGGAAAGGAGCATTGGGAGGCAGTCAAATGGATTCTCAGGTACTTGAAAGGTACCACGAAGTTATGTCTTTGTTATGGAGGAGCTGATCCAGTCTTGGAAGGCTACACACATGCTGATATGGCCGAAGATATTGATAGTAGAAAGTCTACTACAGGATATATCTACACTTTTGCAGGAGGAGCTGTTTCTTGGCAATCAAAATTGCAGAAGTGTGTCGCTTTATCTACAACAGAAGCAGAATACATTGCTGCCGCTGAAGTAAGTAAGGAAATGTTGTGGCTAAAGCGCTTTCTCCAAGAACTTGGGATCTAGCAGAAAGAGTACGAGGTACATTGTGATAGTCAGAGTGCTCTAGACTTGAGCAAGAACTCCATGTACCATTCTCGTACAAAGCATATTGATATTCAGTATCATTGGATACGGGATACGATTGATCAACAACTGTTGAGACTAGTGAAGATCAATACAAAGGAGAATCCATCAGACATGCTGACAAAGGTGGTGACACGAGATAAGCTAGAGCTGTGCAGAGACATAGCCGGGATGCTTATTTTGAATATGTCTGGAAGGGGAGAATTGAAGAATTCAATTTCCAGGACATATCCAAGTACAATCAAATTGAAGAATCCAATTGTGAGCAACATCCATGAAGTTTCCTACACATACAAGAATGACAAAGGAAGCTTCAACCCACCTAGGAGTCACTTTCCTCATACCTCCATTGAAGCTTCCTCCTCGCTTCAACACACCTTCCTTCCACCTTCCTAGTACCTAGTTTTGGTGCTATAAATAGAGAACTTGGAGAGTCTTTCTATCATCAAGTAAATTAGAATAGATCATCATAGCACATTCAAGAAGAGTTGTGAATATCTTTGAGAGATATGTGAGGTGTTTTTGAGATTTTTAGTTAGAGTTTGTATGTTTTTTTTTCTATTCTTGAAAGCAATAGAAGTGTTTTTTCTTTCATATTAGAAGGATACCCTTATTCCGTACTCCCTTCTTCATAGAGAAATAGAGAATCTCCATTCAGCACGCATCCGCACTCGTCCCTCGGCCATTTAATTCTACTCCGCATTTATTTTCTCACAACGCTGATTGATTACAAGACTGAATTCATCCACCCTATTGGGCTTGCCCAATATAGAAAAAGAAAACTACAGTCGGACTACAAATATCAAATCTTTTGGATAGAAACATTTGTAAATTCAAAAAGAGGAATGGGATTTGTGTCTGATTGCTCCGAAAGAGGGTATTTTGCTGGGGGCTTCAGAAGCATTGTGAGGAGGAAGCAGGTTGATTCTGCCGCTGTCTCTTCTGCTAATTCAAACAAGTCATCCTCTCATTCTTCTCCCGCGCACAGCAGATTTCATCCTCCTCCTCCTCATCATCACCAGCTGGCTAAGGCCTTGACCGTCCCTCACCTCATTGTCATAGGTAAGATCAGTAATACTGCAAAAAAGGGACTAGCTCACCATTATGCATAGCATTTAAAATTTTATTTTGCAAACCCCCCATCTATCCTCATTCTAGGCACGTAAAACCAAGTGGGGGGAATTATTTCTCACCTACTGATGTCAATGATATTTAATACTTGTCCACAAATTATCATTTGAGTATTGACTTTTTTGGTTTTGTGCTTTTTGGTCCTTGCATAAGCATTGTTGTATACATTAATATTTACCTGTCTCATTGCATAATTTTGTATAGGTGTTGGTTCTACAGTTGGTGCTGGTGTGTATATTATAGTTGGCACTGTTGCCCGAGAGCAGACAGGTCCAGCACTCACCCTTTCCTTTTTTATTGCTGGGATAGCAGCAGCACTTTCTGCCTTCTGCTATGCTGAGCTTGCAAGTCGCTGCCCTTCCGCTGGGAGTGCCTATCACTATTCTTACATATGCATTGGAGAAGGGTATTGCATAAAGTTTTATATTTTTTGCTCTAATAATCTGAGATATGTGCAGTAACTGTGGATATATGTTCCAATAGAAAAACCTGATAACTTTTTCTCTAGGTATGCTGCGTGTTCTAATGCGTTTGCTTTTACATCAGTGTTGCTTGGTTGGTTGGATGGGCAATGATATTGGAATACACAATTTCAGGGTCTGCAGTAGCACGCGGCATATCTCCAAATCTGGTTCTTTTCTTAGTCTTCTTACTCTTTAGTGCTGATGTCTTTCTTTGCTTCATGTGCTTTATAACAAACCTATGGAATTTGCTTGTGCAAATGATGATTTACCCCAGTATTTCACTTCGGGGATGTGCTAGCTTACCTCTAGTGTTGTGCTTTAATCACAAGATTGTGCAATTTTTATACTTCCTCCGTATCAGAATAAGTGTCTCACTTTCCTTTTTTGGCCGTATCAAAATAAGTGTCTCACTTGCTTTTTAGGAAATAATTCCACCCCAAAATTAGCTACATACACTTTAACAAAGTAAACAGTACTTCTATAGTACCAAAAATCTCCTACTTTTTCAAAAAGTGTACAGTAAACCTATAAACTATCTTAAAATACATGAAAAGCCTACTGGGACTCTTATTCTGATATTGAGGGAGTAACCGGAGTATAACTTTATGTGGTGATACTCTATAAGCATATTTGAGTTGTTAATTTGTTCTTAATATGTATAACTAATGTAAGGATAAAAGAAACATAGACGACAGTTAAAATGATATGTTATCTACTTTTAGGCTTCTTTTCCTCCTTTGAGGTTAGGGAAAATGTGAGAATCAGGTGGTACATAAATATTCTGGATTAGACAACAATATTAAAGTATGTTACAAGTAATATAGGGTACACTACTTCTGGTAGGTGGCTACAGTTTCCTTCTCGAGCAGTGCGCCTGGTACCCAATGAATTAGCACAATGGGAATACGGTCCATGTTTGATGAGTTTCATCTTTCAATCAATATGCTTACACACATGTCTGCGTTTTGTTCATATATGTGTCCCAGCAACACCTTATGGGGGTAGTTACAACTTACAACCACCCCATGAAAAACGGGTCCTTTATATAATACCAAAGTCGTATACTCGTATTACAAACATTACTCTTCATTCGGGATGGACTCGATGGAGGGAGTATGAGTTTTTTCCCCTTTCCTTAGCACTGAGGTATTGCAATTATGCCACGTGTAGTCGTGTACTACTATCCTACCACACTCTCACCCACCCACATGCAAAAAATGAAAGGCAGAGTTGACCGAGAAATGTTTGTTCTGCCTACTAATCTGGCATTTCCCAGTTATTAGCTTTCATTAATTTATCTGTTCATGCACTAGGCTTTACTCTTCGGAGGTCAGAACAGTCTCCCGGCCTTTTTAGCTCGGCAGACAATCCCTGGGCTTAATGTTGTTGTGGACCCATTTGCAGCAATTTTAGTTTGCATTATCACTGGGCTTTTATGCGTTGGAATTAAGGAGGTATTCATTCATTATTATTTTAACGTTTTGAGTAATCGATTTAAGGCCTCTCTCTTTATTGTTTTCTGTTTTTTTTAACAAAAAAATGCAACATTCTGAAAACCAGGTAATGTTGTTTTGAGGTTTTTGTTTGTATTTTTCAAATTTACTTCATTACTAAAGTGAGATTAGTTTTTATTTCATTATACAGCACATACACATATCATATACCTTTTAAAATCATAAAACAAAAACTGAATACTGACAACGATACCGAATGGGGCCTAAACAGTTTTGTTTTCATTGGTGACTTGTGCCACCATGTTGGTAATTGAAGGGAATAATTCTTGCAGAGTACAATGGCTCAAGGAATCATCACGTTCGCCAATATATTGTCATTGGTTTTTGTAATAATTGCCGGTGGATATCTGGGCTTCAAAACGGGATGGCCTGGATATGAGCTTCCTGTTGGGTAAATGTTGACTGTTTCTGTTTTTTAAATATACTATTCTTTGTGTATTACATTTCTTAGCATGTTGTTTTCCACTAGGTATTTTCCGTATGGGGTAAATGGAATGCTGGCAGGGGCCTCAACTGTCTTTTTCTCATACGTCGGGTTTGATACAGTTGCCAGTACATCTGAGGAGGTATGTGCTTATGTCCTCTGTATTGCCTCACTTCTCATTTTTATCAATATGCTATCATCTGGATGGTTGCTGAGGATGGTAGGGTCCGGTAGGGCCATAGGGGATGGCAGACAGGATTGTATGCGAGGTGTTATACTTATCTAGAATTAAGTTAATTTCAAATAAATCTCTGTTAGGCCAATAGCGCCTCACATCAGGAAGTGTTTTTTGGGGCAGGGGGTGAAGCACAATGCCATTACATGATTATGTGATATGTAACAGAAAAATAGAAATCAACGGGGTGAACCGTTGCCCGGATAATCAACGATAAAAATACCGTTGCCCAAAGCCAAAAGGCTAAACTCTAACTTTATTCCAAGATAATAAGAATGAACCCTGGCGAGGGGTATAAATAGCCTTCTACAAGAAACCCTAATCAAGCCCATATTAATTAAACCCTAATTAAGCCCAAATTAACTCAACTAACTACTCTACTAATAATAGGCCCAAACTAAAACATAACATTAACTTAATAATAATAATTAAACTATAACGACAACCCTAACTCAGCCCACAAAGTGGGCCCAAGCCCGGTCCCGCCCCATGCTCTTCCCGCTCTCTATCAATCCATCCTCCTTCAAAATAACCTTGTCCTCAAGGTTGAAAGCTGACAGATGGAAAATATCCTTTCTCTCTTTCCTGAACTCTTTCCTGGGCGGTTATTTCACAGTACTCATGCTGTTGGAGGTCTAACTCTTCCTCCTCCTCGGCTATCATTACCCGCAGCTGCTTAAAGAGACAGTCGTGCCCCGGTGTAAATGGTTTCTTACACCTAAAACATAATCCTTTCGCCCTCAATTCTGCGAACTCCTTTGGCGGAAGCCGAGTGAACTGAGAGCGTGTCGTAGGCTGCCCGGACAGCCCTGACTTCGTCCCCGGAGGCTGTCCACTATCCTTCGCAAAGCTGCCCCTTGATCCCTGCAAGCTGCCACCACTGGCAGTCAAAGGAGGACCCGTGTTTGCCATTAAAAAGCTGCTGGAACGTACCCCTGCAGAATTATAATTCGGGCTGCCACTTCCTCCACTTTGGACGGACAGATTATGCTCCACATCGCGAGCTAATTCCATGGCTGTCTCCAGGTTTTCTGGCCGTAATAAGCGCAGCGAACTTCTGATTGCTTCCCCAAGTCCACTCATGTAGTAGCCCAAATAATGATCGTCGGTCAATCCCGGAACTTGGCTAGCCAATTGAACGAACAAGGTATTGTATTCCTCCACCGACCCAATTTGTTTGACGCCGGACAGCCGTTCAAACCTGTTTCCCTGATATCGGGAATCAAATCTGGCCACCAAGGCTTGCTTAAATTCCTCCCAAGATATGCCAGGTTTGCACGCCTTTAACCACGTCACCCAATAGAGTGCAGCCCCTTCCATAGAAACCCTAGCCGCTGCAACTTGTCTGTCTGGTGGGGTCCTGTTGAGCTCGAACTGCTGCTCCACTCTCTCCAACCACCCAATTGGGTCTTCGCCATCGAACAAGGGAAGTAGCGTTGTGGCTGCGGTGCGCAGTCCGCCATCATTGGAGAAGACAGATGCGACGTGGCTGGAGGAATCGCTCTCGACGGTCGCGATGGGAGATTTCTGCGGCGGCACCATGGCCTTCGCGATTGCTGCAAGAGAGGCTGCGATTTCCGCAAGCTGGGCGGCCTGCTCTTCCAGTTTCTGACCTTGTGTGTCAAGTTTCTGTCCCTGCAGATCAAGTTTCTGTCCTTGCGTGTCAAGTTTTTGATTGATTAGGGCGTGTTCAGCCTCCAATTCTGATAAACGTTCGTTGGTTGATCTCGTCATTCCGGCGGGACGGGATCCGGTAGGTCGGACCAATTGATATGTAACAGAAAAATAGAAATCAACGGGGTGAACCGTTGCCCAGATAATCAACGATAAAAATACCGTTGCCCAAAGCCAAAAGGCTAAACTCTAACTTTATTCCAAAGATAATAAGAATGAACCCTGGCGAGGGGTATAAATAGCCTTCTACAAGAAACCCTAATCAAGCCCATATTAATTAAACCCTAATTAAGCCCAAATTAACTCAACTAACTACTCTACTAATAATAGGCCCAAACTAAAACATAACATTAACTTAATAATAATAATTAAACTATAACGACAGCCCTAACTCAGCCCACGGAAGTGGGCCCAAGCCCGGTCCCGCCCCATGCTCTTCCCGCTCTCTATCATTATGACAGTGATAAGCATACTAAGATGGACAAATTTGAGTGCAAGAAAAGAGAGTTGGACATAATTTTTTCGGGCATTCATAGCCGATGCTATTGGGAAACAAACTTAGTGAGTTGGTTAATAAGATGGTCGGGATATGCTCAATATATTATAGGTGAACCAGCTACATACTTAGAAAGTTGGTTAATAAAATGCCAAAATGGTCTGGATAAATTCAATGTGGTATAGGCGAGCCAGCTGGAAAAAGCAATACATTGACATAATAAGAGTTATGACCAATAGAGACTCAAGATTATTTGCATTGAATTTATTAAGACAATTATGCTACCCCTATGGTGTGTACTGTGTAGCACTTAGCCACTCACTTACTCAATAAGCATCTGGACTTGCATTTCTACTCTTATGACTTGCATCTCCAATTCTCTTCATCTCTTGAAATCATAGTGTTAATGCTTCTCAGTTTACTTCCACAAACTCTACTAACTTTTTACCTAGGGAACCAATGCTCCAAGACGCTACCATGATCTACCCTCCAAGTCTTTACGTGCCTAGGTCATAAATGCCATTACTTACTTAACACGACAACCAGACATTAATGTGGCGTATAGCTTCTCGGTGATGACAAAACATCCTTTTAATACTTATATCACTAGACCCGTGTCTAGGAAGTCCAGTGCGTGACTGAGTAAGGAATATTTGTACAAGTTTTATCTTTGTTTATGATAATATATATGTGACTGTGGTGCTGTCAAGTGTCAACTACTCAACTTACTGCAAATTCATTCATAGACGTTTTGAGAGAATTGATTGGAGGCATGAAATTATAATTCGCAAAGAGAGCCCAAAAATAGTTTGGACTAGCAAGGGGTTATTGAGTTGAATATTATTGAGAAATGCTAATCATCACCATCATCCACAACACTATTACCTGTTATTGTTATGTTTAAATTTTTAGTTTTCAGAACTTTTATATATTTATTTATGTATCTATCCATCCATCCACCCACCCACCCAACCATCCATTTACATACTCCCTCTGTCCCATTTTACCTGTCCTACTTTTCTTTATGGTTGTCCCAAAATAAGTCTCATTTCCTTTTTTAGAAAGAAATGTGTGGCATACACCATTTCACTTTATTATACTCAAATGTCAACCACAACTTTTACCTTTTCAACCACTTTATTAATAATTGTGCCAAGTCAAAATGAGACACATAAAATGGGACAGAGGTAGTATTTATTTATGTATGAATTTATTTATTTATTTATTTATTTATTTATGTGAAATTCTGAATATTTGTGATATATTACAATCTCAGAATGATAGGATATTTATACAGCCTATTGAGGAGAGAATCTAAGGCATTAAATATACAGTCTGCTAATCTAAATAATAGAATATCCTATTTCTAGAAAGAATAAAATACATGATACTGGTAATTAACACAAAATCAGATCTTAAGTACAACAATAGTTATTCTCTAAATCAGGAAATAAATCCACACTCCCCCTCAAGTTGGGTTGTGAATGTCAAATATCCCAAGCTTGCTAATTAATTCTTCAAAAATGGTTCTCGGTAGAGCTTTTGTAAGAATGTCAGCAATTTGAAATTTTGATGGAACACAACAGGTCTGAATAATGGAGTTCTCTATTTTCTCAGTGATGAAGCGTTTGTCTATATCAATATGCTTAGTTTTGTCGTGATGGACTGGATTTTTGGCAATGCTAATAGCAACCTGATTGTCACAAAGCATTTGTATAGACCCTTCTTTAAATACTCCCAGCTCGCTAAGTAATCTTTTCAGCCACATTCCTTCACATATGCCAAGAGCTAGAGCTCTGAATTCTGCTTCAGCTGAACTTCTAGAAACAACTGATTGTTTCTTACTTCTCCATGTTACTAAATTTCCCCAAACATAAGAACAATAACTTGAAGTACTCCTTCTATCAGTTACATCTCCTGCCCAATCTGCGCCCGTGTAGACTCTAATATCTTTATTGTCATTCTTCCTAAAAAGAAGACCTTTTCCTGGATTCATCTTGAGGTATCTAAGGATTCTTGTAACAGCTTCCATGTGTTCCTCCGTTGGATTATTCATGTATTGGCTTACGACAATAGCAGGTCTAGTGTGAGATAAATAAATAAGTCGTCTCACTAGCCTTTGATATCTCCCCCTGTCCACAGGTGCTCTGGCCATGTCCGAGCTAATCTTTTTGTTAGAATCCATTAGAGTCGAGGCTGGTTTACAACCAAGCATTCCAGTTTGCTTGAGTAAGTCTAGAACATACTTTCTTTGAGAAACAAAAATGCCATGTCTTGATCGTGCAATTTCCATGTCAAGAAAATATTTAAGACAACCGAGGTCTTTTACCTCAAATTCCCTTGATAAGAAACCTTTTAAGCTTTTCAGTTCTTCCTTGAAATCACCTGTAAGTATTATATCATCAACATAAACTATCAAGATAGCTATCCTTTGATCTTGTGAGTGTTTCACAAACAAGGTGTGATCTGTGCCTGACACTGAATATAACCATTTTTAGCGATTGATTTAGTGAATTTTCCAAATCATGCTCGCGGAGATTGCTTAAGGCCATATAGAGATTTCTTCAGTCTGCATACTTTGTTTCAGTTGGATGAACTCTCAAAGCCTGGTGGAATATCCATGTACACTTCTTCTTCCAGGTCACCATTCAAGAAAGCGTTCTTCACATCTAGTTGGTGCAACGGTCAGTCTCTATTTGCAGCAATGGATAGTAGAACACGAATGGTATTGAGCTTAGAAACCGGAGCAAAAGTCTCTTGATAATCGATCCCGTAAGACCGGGTAAATCCCTTGGCAACAAGCCGAGCTTTAAACCTCTCAATGCTACCATCCGCTTTATGTTTAATGGTGAATACCCATTTACATCCCACTGGTCTCTTTCCAAATGGTAAATCCGTTATGTGCCAAGTTCCGTTCTTCACCAAAGCATTGATTTCATCTTGTACAACCTTTTTCCAACTCGGATCAATTAGTGCTTCTTGAATTGAGTGAGGAATTTGTACACTATCAAGAGTAGAAACAAATGCTTGATAGGATGGAGATAATGTTTTATAGGACACAAAATTGCCAGATGTTTAGTACAAACACGAACTCCCTTTCTCAAAGCAATAGGTAGATCATCATTTATACCAGTAACACTATCATGACAAGAATTACTCATACCTGAATGTATTTCTGGAGGATCTGAATTCAATTCCAAGTCATGGCAGTCCTGTAGATGTGTTTTGATAGACACGAAGTTCTTTAGGTTCTGGATGAGAATTAACAATTGGTAACGGATCAGGGGTGTTTTCAGTGGCTTGAGATGAACTGGCTACTTGGTTTTCTATGACATCTTGACGTTCTCCAACTGTCACAGGTTGTGTCACAGGTTGTGGACTTGTGAGTTCAAGAATAGGTGCAGTAGGTGAAATTTCGAAAAGGTGAGATTCACTTCCATTCCCCCCCGAATCTCGGATTTGTAGTAAGCATGTGATTCGAAAAAAGTGACATCCATAGAGTTATAGGTTTTTTGTGTAGTAGGACAATAACACTTATAACCCTTTTGATTAGATGAATAACCTATGAAGATGCATTTGATAGATTTAGGATCTAACTTACTACGATTTTGTGGATAAAGATGGACAAAAACAGTGCAACCAAAGACCTTAGGATCAACAAAGCTAATGAACCTTGTATGAGGGAATATTTCCAGAAGAGTTTGACACGGAGTTTGAAATTTCAACACTTTAGATGGCATCCGATTAATGAGATAGGCAACGGTGAAAACTGCATCCCCCTAAAAACTTTAGGAACGTGAGACCCAAACATTAGGGATCGAGCAACTTCAAGAAGATGTCGATTTTTCCGTTCAACAATTCCGTTTTGCTGAGGGGTGTCAACACAAGAACTTAAATGGATAATGCCATGTTTTATCAAATAAGTACCAAGAACAGAATTAATAAATTATTTGGCATTGTCAGTTTTGAGTACTTGAATCGTAGTATGAAACTGAGTTTGAATCATAGAATGAAAGCGCTGAAAAATTCCACTCACTTCTGACTTATTTTGCATAAGAAAAACCCAAGTTAATCTTGTGTGATCATCTATAAAAGATATAAATCATCTTTTTCCCGTTATAGTGTTTATGCGTGAAGGTCTCCACACATCACTATGAATCAATGAAAAAGGTTTTGATGGTTTATATGTTAATCTAGAATATCTAGTCCGAGTGTGTTTAGCAAACTGACAAGTTTCACAACAAAAAGAAATTGGATCCTTATTTAGAAATAAGGAAGGAAACATTTTTGATAAGTACACAAAATTTGGATGACCAAGACGATAATGCCATAACATGATAGCACTATCCTTATTAGACAAAGAAACTGACTGACTATTCAAAGAAAGCAAACTGAACTTTTGGTTTGTGTTGGTGGGTGATGCTTCATCACGTAGAACATATAGTCCGGAACACATCTTAGCACTGTCAATCCTCTTCCCTGAGTTCAAATCCTGAAATACACAAAGATTTGAGAAAAACTTTGTCACACAGTGATGTTCACTAGTAAATTTACTAATTGAAAGTAAATTACAGTCTAATTTGGGCACATGGAGCACAAATTTGAGAGTGTGGTCCTTAGTTATTCTGACTGAACCGGAACCCTCAACTTGAGAAAGTGAGCCATCTGCTATTTTGACTGTATGATTTCCTTTCTTCGGGTGAAACTCACAGAAAATTGATGCATCTCCTGTCATGTGATCTGAAGCTCCGAAGTCTAGAATCCATGATTTGTTAGTGCTTCTATTGACAGAACAAGCAACTGATTTATTACCTCTCATAGCCAACATACCAGTATCATGCGTAGAGGTTGGATGAATGGAGGAATGATTCAAAAGTTTCTGAAGGGCTTCAAGTTGAAAGAATTCATGTCCATTGAATTTGCAACTGGTAACGAGAGAGACAACTTCATTTATTTGAGAAGAGGCAAAAAGAATTGATGAAGGTGTTTTAGAGGTTGCCTCTGAGATGAAGCTGTTGTTTTCGTGAGCCATGATAGACATAAGAGATGGGCACGACCAGAAGAGGAGTACAGAAACCCTAGGATAGCTAGAGCTCTGATACCATGTGAAATTCTGAATATTTGTGATATATTACAATCTCAGAATGATAGGATATTTATACGGCCTATTGAGGAGAAAATCTAAGGCATTAAATATACAATCTGCTAATCTAAATAATAGAATATCCTATTTCTAGAAAGAATAAAATACATGATACTGGTAATTAATACAAAATCAGATCTTAAGTACAACAGTAGTTATTCTCTAAATCAGGAAATAAATCCACAATTTATTTATTTATTTATTTATTTATTTATTTATTTATTTATTTATTTATTTATTTATTTATGTATTTATGTATTTATGTATTTATGTATTTATGTATTTATGTATTTATTTATTTATTTATTTATTTAATTATTTATTTATTTATTTATTTATTTATTTATTTATTTATTTATTTATTTATTTATTTATTTATTTATTTATTTATTTATTTATTTATTTATTTATTTATTTATTTATTTATTTATTTATTTATTTATTTATTTATTTATTTATTTATTTATTTATTTATTGTGTAACAGGTGAAAAATCCTCAGCGTGACCTGCCTTTGGGAATTGGCTTGGCATTGATGATATGCTGCATCCTATATATGTTAGTCTCAGCTGTTATTGTTGGTTTGGTACCCTACTATGCTATGGATCCTGATACCCCAATCTCGTCTGCATTTGGGAGCCATGGTATGAAGTGGGCAGTGTAAGTAAACCATTTTTTGACCTATTATACTTACCAAATCCAGCTGCTTTTTTATTTAATGTAGTCTTGACTGCTCATGTTTTCAGATATATAATAACTACTGGAGCTTGTACTGCTCTTTGCTCTACACTGATGGGTTCCATTTTACCTCAGGTAAATCAATTGAAACAGTTTGTACCTTTTTGGTTTATTAAATAGGATGTTCATTAAAAAGCATACTCCCCGAGAGTGCAATGATTAGTAAAAACACAAGAAATACATAAAGTTTAGTACAAATGACAAGTTTAATGTCACGATGATATCTTAATAATGTCCAAGTGTCTCTTAGATATCTTAACACCTCTCCCAATTTAGCTTGCAATAATAATAAGCTCTATGTTTGCGATAAACACACACACACACAAATATTCCTTGTCAGGTATTACCGGACATGACCGCTGTCTGGCCACCTCATTTTGAGGTGGTTCAGGGTAGATTTTTTTTGATGAATTTTTGTGAGCATGTTCTCCATGATGTGTAGATTGTATCCACCAAATTTCAGCTAAAAATTCAACCGGGAAGTCCGTTAAATAAACTTTTAAAAATAATTGCATTTATACATATATTTTGTCGCAAATTTTTTCAATAATATATTTAACTAACTTTCTAATTGAATTTTTAGCTAAAACTTTGACCAAGAAAAGCCTATGGGACAGAATTCAAAATTCTATGTTACTGAATTCAATTTATTACAAAAACAAAATGGTTTTTTCATACAACAACAACATTACGGGGGTGCTGCAAAAGCTCTCACATACAAGGGTAAGGGGGGTTGAATGTATGCAACCTTACTCGTGTACTAAAGCACAAAGAGTCTGTTTCCGGATGATCCATGATGAAAATCGCGTCGAAAATTGCATGGACTGGCTGTTGCTTCATAACAAAGAAGCGCAAACAGTTTAGTGATCAGGCCTGATCTGACTTGATATTCGAAGTCATATGTGATCGGGCCTCATCTAAACAGGAATACTCTATATAACAATAACCTGTATTTCATACTAAATTTTTGGATACCCAATTAGGCCAGTTAGGAATAGAAATCATCTATAGTAAATTTTATGTACTGTATCAAGAAAATATACTTCTATTGTTTTATATAATAATAATAATAATTAAGTGGTAGATAATTTATCATTTTATGTTGTTATCAGCCACGGATATTTATGGCCATGGCCAGAGACGGGCTGTTGCCATCGTTTTTTTCGGATATTGACCCACATACTCTTGTTCCAGTCAAGAGCACTCTAGTTACCGGTTTACTCTGTGGGGCCTTAGCATTCTTCATGAATGTTGATCAATTAGCTGGAATGGTATGGAACACTTTTGAAGTACAATATGAATTGCATTTTACGTCTTGTTCCTTATGGTTTTAGCTCTTCATAGATTCACCATCATGCAGGTTAGTGTTGGTACACTTCTTGCTTTCACAGTTGTTGCAATTTCTGTGCTCATACTTCGGTATGTTCCACCAGATGAGGTTCCACTCCCCCCATCCTTTCAGGACGCCATAGACGTTGTAACCATCGGCTATAGTGGCAGTAAAAATGATGATGATATTATGGAGAGTACCAAAACTGTTTCTGCAACCATTGATGATCAGGTTCCATTGTTAGTCAAAGCACCTTTTTGGCATCCTCTTCAGGAGAAAGCAGCGGCTCAGTTCAGCTGTAAGTTTTTAGATTATCTATTCATAACATTTTCTGATTAATTATTAATTTCACGAGTTGAAAAACGCTACCTTGGGCACTAAAAATAGAAACATGAAAGTCATGTAGTCTCCTTCTCCCTAATCTTTTGGGGTAGAATGTAATGGGTTATAATTTCATGGATTATCCTTTTCGGAGAAGGAAAATAAACAAGGAACAGTTATTGGCAATCATTAAACTTGATAGTAAAAAGTGAAAATTTACATTAAATTTAAAGAACTTATAGCTGAAATTTGAAACTTGAACTTTGCTTGTACGTCGCTGGTTCCTACTTCAGCATCCGAACTTGAACTTTAATTCTCTTTAATTCGACTTGACTTAACTAGAGTGCACATTTGCTTCTTCTTCTTCTTCTCCTCCTCCTCCTCTTTGTTTCTTCTTTGACAAAGCGATATAACTGTCATTATTTCCTTACTTTGTATGGTTGGATTAGCTCGCCAAAGTTTCTTCTTCCTCAGTTTCTTCTTGTTTGACAAAGAGATATAACCATCATTATCTCCTTTTTGTACGGTTGGATTAGCTCGCCAAAGTTTCTTGTTTGTCATTCAGTGCTAAACTAATGTTTATAAAGAAGTTGCCAGAAGAAGACAGATATATTTGGAAAAGTCCGGCTCATGATTGGGAATAAACCTGAAAAAGTCCTCTAAGAATAAACCTGATGCACCGGCAGACCAGCTCATGATTGGGAACTGCTGGTAGATCGGTGTCGCATTGAAACAGGGTCGGGTAGCGGTGGATTTTTTCTGGTGTAAGGTCAGACGATTCCGTGGATGATGGTGTGGCAGTGATGACAAAATAAAAAGGACAGGATTATGTTTTAATAATATTTTGTTGTACTATTTAGAGTTTGGCTTCGATACATCATACATTGTAAAATGTTAAGTATCTGCATTGAAATATTGAATGTCCATAGGTTCTGGTTTTGAGTCCAGTACACAAATGTATGATTAAGTATCAACAACAACAACAACATCCGAGCCTTAATCTCAAAAGAATTTGGGGTCGGCTAACATGAATCGATCTATGATATAGATGCCAAACAGAGAAGACGGTGATATTCATATTTCGATTCATGTCATGTGATGTGACTAAGTGATACTGTTGGCCGTCACGCGCCTACCACAGCCCCCTCCTCCTTTATCCTGGCTTGGGACAGACATGATACCAAAAAAATGATCTCATGACGGAGTTATAAAGTGATAAACCACATGTATTTATAATTCTTTTGTTGTGAGTTTAACTTGACATAGAATAATAAATCACGGATCCATAATTATTTATAGGATTATTAGCTAAATATATCCTCAACTATCATGAAATTCACAAATTTATCTCATACTTTCACTTTTATTAAAAAAAGACTCAAACTTCAACTTTTTTCACAATTACACTTGGCTAAAGGGTCAAATAGGCCCCTGTACGTATACGAATTGCTCAATTCGCACCCCGAACCAAAAAAAGCTCCGATCCGGTCCACCAACCAACTTAATTTGTTCAATCCCTACATTTACCCGGTTACCTCCCGTTTTCTCACCTTAAAAGCCCAGTCAGCAAGTTTTTCATCTCATAAAATGCTGACTCATTAATTCATCAAAACAAGCCCAGTCAGCAAGTTTTTCCCCTTCTTCATTGTACTCATAACCCGCAGCTAAACCCAAAATTAGGTCTTGAACGTCGTTACAGAGGCACGCACTTAAACCTCCCCCAGCTTCGACGGACTTCACAGGGGCATCGTCCTGATACACCAGGCCCCCAAAACAGTACAATCCCAGTTGTAGCCTCAGAGAAAAACCATCAATTTGGCGTTAACCAGCAAGATTCGCTTCCGTCAAGTACAGTAAAACCTACGTTCAGTTCGAGGATTTTTGGTCCTCAGTCAACCTTCCAATACTAAATCCGGGGCTGGAGATAGATAGAGGGATGAATTCCGACCAGTAAACAACAACACCAAAAGCTTCAATCCACCAATTCCATGGAAACGTACAAGCCCTGGCGCAAAAGAACTTGAAGCGTAAATCCCTCCCACCTCACCCCCACCCCACCAAAACAAGTCTTCTATGGGATGAATTAATGAGTCAGCATTTTATGAGATGAAAAACTTGCTGATTGGGCTTTTAAGGGGAGAAAACGGGAGGTAACCGGGTAAATGTAGGGATTGAACAAATTAAGTTGGTTGGTGGACCGGATCGGAGCTTTTTTTGGTTCTGGGTGTGAATTGAGCAATTCGTATACGCACAGGGACCTATTTGACCCTTTAACCATTACACTTTCAATGGATGAATTAGTAAAAATTAAGAAGAAAACTATATTTATATTTTTTCACTTCTTTCTAGTTTTAAGTTTACAAAATTGTATTGCTTATATCTTATTGGTATTGATAAAAATGTGTAATTTTGAAAAAACAAACAAAAAAGCATAATTGTTGAAAAACATGAAGTTTGAGTCTTTTTTTGATAAAAATGAAAGTGTAGGATAGATTTGTGAATTTGATTATAGTTTGAGATAAAATAAGCTAATAATCCTTATTTATATGACTTTAAATGTATGACATACTTTCTGAAAACTAATAGTCTGCTTACATAGTGATCGAAGCAGAAATAAAGGGGAATATAATAGAAGCGTCATTAAGTTCTATGACCACGTGTACCAAAGAAGAAAGGAGAAGGAGTTAGCTAAATAACTAGCTGAGCTGGTCAGTTAGGTAGCGGGTACCAACTGTTTGGGGAGGGAAATATTGTAAATAAATAGAAACAGGGAGGGATAGTTAGGCAGGCTTTTTGACAGTTAGAATTGGTCTTGAAGAGCCCTGGCACTCTCGAAATTGCCCAGACTGTTTCCCTGTAATCTTTTTGTGAATATTGAATAAAGCTCAGTTTTCTTGATTTCTTGTTGATAAGAATTCTGTAGATTTTCAATTCTTAACACAGGAAAATAATAGGCTCTTAGTGTAATTTGCTTAACTCTTTGGTTCTTATTAGTATACTTGAGCATCACACATAAGAAAATTAAGTTTTTTTTACCATCAGACTCTGATGTCCATAAATTACTCTAGCTGGTAACTCTGAATCTTTTTGGACGCGTCATCCTTCTCTTTCTTTATCCTGCTAGTTAACATGTATCAGATACGACTAATCAGATGAAATTCTTCCTACACACTCTGCCCTTTTACTTGACCTATTCGTAGTCTGTCATGAATGGACTTGACCTGTTTTTTGCATGAATTTACAGTTAACCAACTTTAGGCACTTAATTGGCAATAAGTTTCATGCCACAGAGCATCCAAACCCAAGTTTTTTGGTATTAATGTGATGATCACGATGACCATAAAATTTTACAATTTTCAACAATTTAGTTTGATTGCTTTTCTGATTATGTAATAATGAAACGTAAATAGCAGGTTTAGTAAGTGAAAGACGGAAGCTTGCTGGATGGGCTATCTTGCTTACCTGTGTTGCGGTGCTTGTAATTGCTTCTGCTGCTTCTAGTTTTGCCCTGCCAAAGTATGTTTTTACTCTCTAGTCTCTCTCCATTAACCAGGCTGCTAAATGAGTGTTTACAGGTTCTAATTTGCATATTAATCTTCACATTCTGCGATAAATGTACTTGCTTCTGCATATTTAGTTCTGCAAAGAAAAGGATTTCTAGAGTATAAAGTTCATTGTTCTCTGTAGGAGAATAGGAAGAAGTAAGTTTATCTTGTAAAAAAATGGGGAGCAACTCAAGTTTGAAGTACATTTCGCGCTAATTCATTCAATAGATCACACCAAAGGGATCATTATAGCATATATATGTATGTGAAAAGTGAGAAGTCCTAGTTATATGAAATTTGAGAATTCATCAAGTGCATTTATTTCAGAAAACCAAAGGACCACACAGGTTGGGTGCACAGGATAACATGGGCTTCATCACATCAAATTGTAGTTTGCTGTTTTTATTTAACACAAACACATATAGGGAAATGATCACGTAGTCTTCATGACGGGATTCCCATTAGTACTTCTTTGTTTGGCCAAAAAGGAATTCAATGATCCCAATTTCTTCACATATATGTCACTTATTTTCCATCATTTGCAATGGAGCCAAAGATTCATTATTTTTTGGCTTTAGATTATGATTGAATAAAAGCAAAATGACTCATTAAACTGTCTGCGCTTCTTTGTTATGGAGCAGCAGTCAGTCCATGCAATTTTGGACGCGATTTTCACTATGGGTCATCCGGAAACAGTCTTTCTGTGCTTTAGTACAGGGGTAAGACTGCGTACATCCGACCCCTCCTTACCCCACCGTAGGTGGGAGCCTTTGCGGCACTGGGGTAAATGAAAATGATGATTAGTCTTTGCTGTCAGGTCATGTTAAAAATTTAATTATATCAAAGATATTCTATTTTTAAAGATGAATTAATCTTAACCATTAGGTATATGTTATGTATCTATTCATTTTAGCCAACCCCGAAATCTTTTGGGACAAAGGCTTGGATGTTGTTGTATTAGGTATATTTAAAAGTGAGAAATGAGTGTAGCAGGTCTATCATCAAACTATTTAAAATCTAAACATTTGAAATCCAACGTCAATACTACTGAGTAGAAAAACTGAACCATTAAATTGATCAGATGCCCAAAATGAAATAGGCTTGATGGGATTCCCGTCAGGCCTATTCTACTTTTAGCCAAACATAATTTCAATGATCCTAATTTCTACACTTATTCAAATCTAGGATTAGTTTTAACTTTTAACGTTAAATCATGTCGAAAATTAAAGTCTACCAATGGTAACTATATTTTTAACAATGAATTACTTATGACCAATAGATAAGCTTTATAGTTTATAAGTGAGTGTAGTATCTATTACTCTATATTCGAACAAATTTAAAAGGCTTAAATATGTTTAGGTCTCTGTATTTTTTAGAGGTACACATTTTAAATATTTAAAACGTGTAACATTGGTAGGTTTATAAGCGTTGTCGAACAATCTTTATTTTAGGTCTCTGTATTTTTTTTTTGTTTTTCATCCTTATAATATGTACTTTCCATCATTTGCAATGGAGCCAAAGATTCATTATTTTTTGGCTTGAGATTATGATGGAATAAAGCAAAATGGTTCACTAAACTGTCTGCGCTTCTTTGTTATGAAGCAGCAGTCAGTCCATGCAATTTTGGACGGGATTTTCACTATGGGTCATCCGGAAACAGTCTCTTTGTGCTTTAGTACAGGAGTAAGACTGCGTACATCCGATCCCCCCTTACCCCACCGTAGGTGGGAGCCTTTGCGGCACTGGGGTAAATGAAAATGATCCTTATAATATGTACTATTTTGTTTTTAGTCCATCTCAAACTCCGAAACCACCCTATTTAGAAAAAAAAGTTATAGCCGGTTGCATAAAAATTTAGTAGAAACTATTAAATTTATCCTTTTATGATTTTCTTGAGACTAATTTGAGAGTTTTTTTTGGGGAGAAGACTAATTTGAGAGTTAAAACAATGTAAAGCTAATTATTCATATTATTTTTATAAATGTATTGAAAACCTTGTAAAAAACTAAAATAAAAAACATTTTGAGTAATATGACAAAGAATTAGAGGAAACCTATTAGGCAGGGTTGTTTCTTTGTCAAACATGGGATATTATCATCACCTTATTCATCGGTGATGGACTAAAAAGAAAATCAACAAAAATTGCAGGGACAAAAAACAAAAAAATAATTTTGCAGGAACGTAAACCAAAATGTGCTATATTTGCAGAGACTAAAAACATATTTAAACCAATTGAAAATCTAACTGTTAAAATCAATAATTAATACTTCGTACTAGTGATCATAAAAAACTTTTTATCAAATTCCAAAAATTGACACAGGCTTAATGTGAATCTCGTCAGGCAGACCCCACTTGATCATTTCCCTATATGTATACACATTCTTTGCGTTGACAAAACTATTTGTATGTATTTTGCCACATCTGTTGCAGACATGTAACTATATGCCTTTTCGTGCGTAATGATCTATAGTAGTTAAAGTACAATGCACTAAATTTGTAACAGCTCACTGAGGTTCATACTTTATGGAGTTGGTGGAACCCTTCTGCTATCTAGTTTGTTAGTTCTGACTTCCATACACCAAGATGATGCAAGACACAACTTTGGACATTCAGGAGGTACACGTTTTAAATATCATTTAATCTATTGAAAGGTAAAAAATTGATGGGACAATACACTTTCCGTCTTCCTGTAAGTATCCTGAGTTTAAATTATCTAAACCATTACTTGAGAGAACTAGGAAGATTTTAGGGGGGGGGGGGGGGAATTGGCAAAACTTTTGAAACTTTGCATTGATGAGCTTTATTTATAAGTAAATAACTGAATACTGAGAGTGATACTATAATTACAAAATTAGTCTCATCATCATTACCCAGTGCCGAATTACAAGATTCCTCTAATAAATAAAATACATTTAGTTACAATAGGCCTTTTTTTAATGTACCATGAATTGTATATACACTAAAATTACTATCTCAAGACCCCCAAACAGGCATGTTTGTAAAGCTACTTCTTTTGTGTGGTATGAACAGGCATGTTTTGAACTCAATTTCCGGCTAAATTTTAAATGTATAATTGTCTTTTGTCCAGGTTTTGTCTGTCCGTTTGTTCCTCTTTTGCCAATCGCCAGCGTTCTCATCAATGTCTACTTGCTAATAAATCTTGGGTGAGTCCTCCTATAGTGTGATCATTAGGATATACGTAGTATGTGTTTGTTTATAGGCGTGTAGCCCCACCCACCCACATAGCATTGAACTTTATTTTTTATGTGCAGCGCTGCAACTTGGGGCCGTGTATCCATATGGTTGCTCCTAGGGATGCTGGTTTATATTTTCTATGGCCGGACCCACAGCGTGCTGCAGGATGCAGTTTATGTGCCAGCAGCCCATATTGATGAAGTTTACAGGAACTACGATGCCTCTTCGGCATAGTTCATTTTACTATTTAGGCAAATGGAAATCAGCGTTTCCTATTGCACTTGATGCTTTTTTCAATTAGTGTAATTGCATCTATTGTATCATTCGTCTATATAGCATTCATTGCCCATCATAGCTTATAGTGATGGAGCGCTGGGGCCAGACAAGATAGGAAGAGACAACAAAGGGAAGTAGTGGTTTCAAACCTGCAAACGGTAAAAACCTTTCTGCTACCCAATGTATATATGGTATCTATGCTGTGTAACATTGTGAGCTTCATAAATCATATGCAGAGTTTTATTAGAAACACACTCCTTATAAAATAAATGTAAAACTAGTGTGAATCCATAGTGGTATTATGTTGTTGCCCAACATGCTTGAGCATCCTGAGACGGACCAGCAACTATCTGCTTCATATCCTGCAGGAGATAAGCCCGCTGCTGAACCTGCCTGGCCGCCTGGGACCATCAATTGGCATGATGGCATCCCCCATTCTAGTCCAATCTGTGACATGCCACAGCCTTGTGCATTGATATAATTGCTTTATAAATGATAAGAATTATAAATGGGTATACCCAGTTCTGGTTCCAGCCTCCAGGCCACTTCTTTAATACATTAAAAAAAAAGGAACCAAACCTGAAAGGCTGGAACTGAATCTGGTCTTATTTTGGAGGAATTAGAACAGGTTTGGAGTTTGGACTGGTATCAGACATTAGAAAAATGGATGTGGGGTTGGATTTTCATTCCACAGTCTGAGCTCTTGAACTGGGACTAGGTCTACCTCAACGGCTCAAAGTAAAATTGCTTTTTGGTTCAATAGGCTCAAAATAGTAGATTTGGTTGTCTTCTATGTGCGTTCACCACTGGAGTTGAGCATTTGATGGACTCAATGTAGAATTTAGAAGTTTAGACAATGTTAAGTAGATGCCAGAATTATTAGAAAAGTATTTAATTTTTTATAACCATAATTTATAATTTAGAGGATTTTATGAAATTCCACACAATTGGAAACCATAAATCATGTTTCCACGTGCTCAAAAGATTATGAAACTGAATACACCTATGTTCAAATTCGATTTGAAGTTTTGAACCAATGAACAAATTTAAACTATGCTTGTAATTGAATTTAACATTCGTAAAATAAAATCAAATTAAGAAATATGTGTGCGTGGATTAGATGTAGTACTTTCGTGCGGGAAAACTAATATGTATCTCAGTTGTGACTTGTGATTATTATTATCAAAATTTTCCTTATTTGAAAAGTAATCTAAAGCTCATAGGAGGCATCAGGCATAGGCATGAATGCATGATCAAGAAAAGCAAATAAAAAGAATGATAAAGAGAAAAGTAAAAACAATGGAGAATGAGACAAATGGCTTGACCCGGGCCGGTTAGTAACAGTAGCGGGCTGGGTCGGTTTTGGTTTGGTTTACTCGGCCTGAGTCCATCCCTAGCTTGACCATCACTATTTTCAAAGAAGCAGGATAGAGGTGGACTCGGGTCTGGGCCGGGTCCGGGTCGGGCCGGTGGTTCAGGAATGGTGGACCTGGGACCGGCCCAGGTAGCCACCGGGTCCGGGCCGGGCCTCCGGTTTTTTTTTTTTGCTTTCCTAACCCCCACCCTCCCAAACCCCCCCAAACCCATCCTAACTAGGGATGGACTAAACCGGGCCGGCCCAGCTCGGGCGGTTCGGGCCGGGCTCGAGTCATATTTTTTGTTTGTTTTTACAATTATTTTCTTTTCCTAGGGTAGGGCTGGGTGTTTTAGGGAGGTTTGGGAATTGGGGGTGGGGGTGAGGGGGGGTGGGGGTCGAGGGATAACTAGGAGTGGACTCGGGCCGGTTCGGGCCTCGGTTCAAGAAGGGGAGGCCCGGAACCGGCCCGGGTAAACCCGGGTCCGGGTCGGGCCGGGCCTCGGGTATTTTTTTTTGGGGCTTTTCCTAGTTAACCCCCACCCCTCCCCCTCACCCCCAAACCAACCCTAACCACCTCAAATGGCCCAAAATAACCAGCCCAACCCAAAAACTCAAAAAAAATTCAAAAAAAAATTAAAATTGGCCCGACCCGAGCCCGAATCGGCCGGGCCGGTTCACCTTTTGAAGGGCCCGAGCCCGAACCGAGAATCCACCGGGCCGGGTGGCCAAAACCGCCCAACGAACCGGTTCCCGGGCCGGTCCGGGCCCGCACAGTGGCGGGCCGGTCTGGTTTCGGGCCGGTTGGCCCGGCCCGAGTCCACCCCTAGGGATAACAAGAAAGCAAAAAAAAAAAAGACAAACCCGGTGGAACCCCAAAAATTTGTCTTGGGCCCAAGTATTTCCTACCCCCCCCCCTCCTCCCAAACCCCCCAAACCCCCAAATTTGTCTTGGGCCCAAGTATCAACCTGGGCCGGTTCCAGGCCCAAGTATTTGCAAAAAAAGTCCGCCCGGGCCCGGCCTGGAACTGGAACCGGACCGTCCCGGGTCCATCCCTAATCCTAACCATCAAGCCCAACCCGGGTGGAACCCCAAAAATGAAAAAAAAAATCAATTTGGCCCGGGCCCGGGCCCGACCTGACCGTGCCGGTTCGCCAAATGTGAGGCTCGAGCCCGGACCCGCCCTAGCCCCCGGGCCTAGGCCCTAACCGGACCCGGACCCGAGAACCGGGCCGGTCCCGGTCCCGCACAGTAGCGGGCCGGTCCCGGTCCCGCACAGTAGCGGGCCGGGTTGGTCCACGGGCCGGGTGGCCCGACCCGAGTCCAACACTAAAGCAGGACCAACTAATATTTGTATTTGTTTTGTTCTTTTCTAGCAAATCAAGGAAAAAAAGAAAGGGGTGGGTCAATTGTTGTTCTCTTTAAGTCGGTGTTTTGGCATTTTATTCACTTTTAGAGTTTTAGTTGGATAACACTATGATATAAACATTTACCAATTACCAATTACCAATTTACCATATCGGAATAGATGACAAAAAGACTCGAATGAAACTATACATTATACTTTATATAAAGGTTGATAAAGTAGTGATGGATTCGATTCGGGCCACCCGGCCCGTGACCCGGCCCGGTACTGTGCGGGCCCGGGACCGGCCCGGTCGGGCGGTCCGGGACCGGGTGTGGACCCGAACCGGTGGGAATGGACGGGGCGGGCACGGTTCCGGATAAATGTGACCCGGCCCCGGGTCTGGTCTGATTTTAAAAAAAAAAATTAAATTGGGCTACTAGCCGTTGGGGGTGGGTGGGGACAACCCAAACGGCTATATAGCTGTTGGGTGGGGTGCAGGGGGGTCCGGGGGGGGTGGGTGGTGGGGGGGTGGTGGGGGGGTGGTGGGGGGGTAAAAAAACCTATAAATACTCCTAATCTTAAACATTTTTTCATATCTCTTCTCCAATTCTTCCTAAATCCTATTCTTAACTCTCTACTCTCTAATTCTCTTATTCTACAATATATTATATTTATTATTTATATATCTACTTTATAGTTTATACTTAAGAAGTTAAGATGGAAAATCAAGATGCCATTATACGGTATAATTTTGATAAGCAGAAGGACCCGAAGACCGGGATGTGGTACGCAATTTGCAAATGGTGCGAGAAAAAATGTAGCATGGGGGTTTCAGGCGGATACGGGATGACAATCAAGCATATGAAGTCATGTGACAAAGCTAAAGGATCGGGAGGTGCGGGAAGTTCCGATTGATTACAATTTTCAAAATGTTTGTCTCTTAAAGTTTGTTTTAATTTTCAAATGTAGTTCCTATTTCATTTCAAATAAATGCACTTGAAGTTTGTTTTTAATACTCGTATAAAACTATAAACTATAAAATATAAATTATAAAAAAAAATTTAACCGGCCCGGCCCGAACCAGACCCGACCCGTTACCCGGGCGGGTGGCCCGGCCCGAACCGGACCCGTCCAACCCTCGGGCCGGTCCCGGGCCCATGTCATACAAACCGGCGGCCCGACCGGGCCTAGGCCCGACCCGGGCCCGGCCCGGCCCGGCCCGGCCCGAGTCCATCAATATGATAAAGATATACTCCCTCTGTCTGACTAACAATGGGACAAGAGGGAGTGACATACAAACCAATAAAACGTGGTTTATGTGGTTGATATTGAATTGATAAAGTAAGAATGATTTAGAACTACACTAATTTTACCAAATTTGGTATGAGACAATCTTAGTGGGACGAATCGAAAAGGTAATATGAGACAATCTTAACGGGACGGATGGAGTAAAACATTTCATAACGATTCTTATCAATTCGGAACATTAGAACTCAATTATACAAAAAGTTTTAGATCAAATCTAATTAATGGAGTGTTTCAAGTGGTCTCCACTTAAGATCCTCTATTCCTCTCCTTGTAAGAAAGATGTTTGAGTTCAAAATATCGAATAAGGGAATTTGGGATACTTTTTCAAATTATGGTAATCTAGCCTCTAACCATAACTCCAGTGGTAAGACAATTAATATGAGAGTTAACTACTCCCCATCTTTAAATAAACATCTCACTTTTCTTTTTGGTTCGTCCCTGAAAAATATCTCCTTTCCTGATTTGATAAACAAAATAGTGCAAAATAATGTCAAATAGTATCAAACGGCACACATTATTTAAACAGGATTAAACAATGTCACAAAATAATGGAAGTACTTAAATTGTATGAAAGTCAAAAAAAAGTCAAAGTAATTAATGATGAGTCAATAATTTGACGAGGAGTAGCAAATGTTGACAAAAATGATTTATGTAGGGGAGGTTAAGGAACCGAGGGAAAAATGTTCTCCAAAGTAATGAAGGGAGAAGACCGTTGTTGTGTCAGATGGGATTGGCCCACCGTTGCCATTCGGTGAAGCCGTCCCCAGATTTTCAGGCAACGATATCTACGTGTCTCTTCCCCAGAGTGGCTGATCCCTTGCTCCACGGAGAAATCCTTCTCTACTTTCGGTCATTTCGTGCCCAATTTTTCCTTTCATTCAGTTTCATGGTGGGAAAATATACCACTGAAAAGCGGAAATTGCTACACAGACCTCCAGAAGAGGCACACTGTGTAATTCAACAATCCTGGTGTAGTCACTGTATATATAATTGTACACATTGTGGGATCTAATACGTCCCACCATTCTTGATCCAGGTGTCTTCATTTTTACGGCCCTGTTTCAGCTTAATTAGCCAAAAATTCCTTATTGCTATTAACCCTAATGTTTGTTTTCTCGTTCTCCTATTTGGGATTTTGATTCCAACTGATTATCAGGAGTTAAGCAATGCTTATCTAATTGATAAAGGTGCCGTTTTTATGAGAAATTACCCGTTTCCCTTCTTGATTTTGCCAGAGCTCCAAAGGGTTGAGATATCAACAATTAATTTGTAGCCCAACTATTGGCGTACACATTCTTGGGTTCATATTTTGGGTGTGCGCTATTGTTTGAGCATCGGAAATGACAGGAAAAAATGTGGGCATCTTTTGTATAAAGTCATTGTTTTGTCTGTTCATAGTGACTTCCATCATTTTCACTTTTTCTTGGTTTTATGTGTTGCAAACCACCCATCAACCTCTACCTGTTGACCTTAGTATACCATCCAACTCAAAGCTGCTGTCATTAGCTCATGACCAAAGTGACGATGAAAACTGGGTAAATGATGGTTTGGATGTGAAGGAAGGATCGGAATTAAGCAGATATGATTGTAAACCAAAACTAAGGGTGTTTATGTATGATTTGCCCCCAGAATTTCACTTTGGACTCCTGGGTTGGAAACCTGTGGGGAAGACTGTTTGGCCTGATATTAGAAGTGAGGTCCCACCATATCCAGGTGGGTTGAACTTGCAGCATAGTATAGAGTATTGGTTGACACTAGATCTTTTGCATTCAGAATTCTTTGACAATTCGAGTGGCTCAACTGCTGTAAGGGTGCATAATTCAAGTGAGGCTGATGTCATATTTGTCCCTTTCTTTTCATCACTGTGTTATAACCGGTTCTCAAGGCTGCAGCCACACCAGAAAGTGAGCACAAACACTTTGCTGCAGGAGAAACTGGTCACTTTCTTAACAAGTCAAGATGAATGGAAGAGATCAGGAGGAAGTGACCATATAGTCCTCGCCCATCATCCTAATAGTCTCTTAGATGCACGGATGAAGCTTTGGCCTGTGATGTTCATTCTTTCTGATTTCGGAAGGTATCCTCCAAATGTAGCAAATGTTCAGAAAGATATAATTGCACCTTACAAGCATGTTGTAAGAAACTACATCAATGATACATCTGGCTTTGATAGCCGTCCAATTTTGCTGTATTTCCAAGGAGCTATATACCGAAAAGATGTGAGTTTTCAGTGCTCCTTTCTTGATCTATCAGTTAATTATCTCTGATTTTGTCTTGTACGTTTGCTCAAGAGTCGATGCTCTAAAAAGTGCTCGTTCTATGTGGGTAAGGTAGGGTGAGGTGGAGTATATACAGGGTTAGGCGAGCTCTTTTTTCCCTTTCCAAGTAGGCGGTCAAGAGAACTCTAGTGTCTAGGCGAGTTTAGGCAGGGATTTTTAGGGTTAACAAGGATATATGGGGGTATTGATGGAATTTGGTACAACTAATAAATGAAGCAAATTGATACCTTAAGTATATTTAGATGTCTCAGCAAGGGTTATCAACGCCTAAAACTCTGGCCAAAATCATCTACATAATTCACATAATCAGTGCTATCAACACTTACAGAATGGTAGTATTCGAGAAAGAAACCAGACATGTAGCTAATCTAGTCGCTGCAACAGATCAGAGTTGTTCTTGAATCATGATGACCCCATCAACTCGGCAGATTAATCAATGATGTATAATTCTTTGTGGGATGCACATGAAGTCCACTCTACAAAATTAGTTTATTTTGACTAGAATTTCAAATAGTACCTTCCTAAAACAATTAGTTGCACTTGTACATAGAATAGTAATTCGATTCATTCAGCAATTGGACGCATAAATGCATCAATACCAATAGTACCACTCATTTATGCGTTTTACCCTTTAGAAAAGAATTAGTATTGTAAATGATTGAAATCCATCCTATGGATACAAGATAATGGTTTGGAGGCTTATATGAAGGCTCAAGGACATGTGTTTTGAGCCGATAATGGAATCAGAGAGGCAGGTTAATGTCTTGCTTGAGAAAAGTAAGGAAGCTAAGGTACAAGATAAAGCTACAAAATGCAGCTTGTGTTGCATTGTTTCCTTAGCCAAATTAATTTTCCTTCTATCTCATTGTGCGTAGCCTCATGGGGTTTCAGTTGCTTGGGATATGTTGGATAGGTTTACAGAGTCTTTTAGCTTCTGCTAGATTGCTGGTAGTAAGTAGTAATAGTAACCCTTGTTTACAGTTTCAAGAAATGGGTTTTTGGAAGTGAAATTTGACTTTTAGGTTGGGAAGGCATACATTTTGGAAATAATTGGAGGCTTGAGCTGCCTTTGATACAGAACACTAATTTTTTCTTTGTGTTTTTTATGGAGCACCCATCTGAATGGTCACCTTTAATGGTGCACCCATTTGACGGGAGCAACATTACTACTTAATACGAAGTCCATGAAAGACCATTTTGTATAGCGTAAGAGTTAACTGATCCCTAAAGTTAACTGATCCCTGTCCGTAATTAGATTTTGTTAGTGAATAAAATTTATATATTCAGAAACTACATTTAAAGTTTTATAAAGTCGCAAAGAAAAACTCAAATTTTATAAAAATTGGACATATAAAGTAAAAGATTAAGAAGACTTTACGTTGACCGTAGAATAGTGGACGGGAACCTTTGAATGGGACGGAGGTAGTAGTATTTAATCGACCTCTTTGGCACAGCCCTAGCCATAACCATAAGATTCTTATATTAAAGGATACTCAGTTCCTATTTAGTATTAACTCGTCTTAGTTGGGTTTTATGCCGTTTTAAGAAAGCGTATGTAGAGGTGAGAGAAATCACTTCTCGTGTGGTGGAGAGTTAATATAGGTGGGTAGAATTTTATTCAATGGGTAAGTTCATTTTGTGCAGGTCCATTTTCAAAAAAGAAAGTGAGATGAGTAATATGGAACAACCTAAAAAAGAAAGGGAAACAAGTAAGTTTGAATGGAGGGAGTACTTAACACCAAAGAACAATATGAACTCTGCTTAGGCAAAAGAAGGGGATGTTATCTTTCCTGTTAAAATATAGAAATAGTAATATAATTATTATAGTTTTAGTAGTACTATTATTTAGTTTCCTGTTCCTTTTTGTTCAAGGTTAGGTTTTATATTCCCCCACTGGCCTTGGGTTTCTCTAGAAATGATAAACTTGTATCAACAAAAGTAGTACTTCCTCTGTTCTACTTTGCTTGTCCATAACGATATACGACATCTCAATGTGCATAAAATCCATATTAGTAATTATAATCCATGTGTCTAGAAAATACTCTAAAACTTAAAGTGAAGTTTTTACAGTGAGACAAGTAATTGGTATGGAGGGAGTATTTTATTATTCTACACCTCTTATCTTTCTCATTTTGCTTTCAAACACAACCTCCATACACGGACGTCTTGGGCTTTTCAGGGGGGGTTTGTTCGGCAGGAGCTGTTCTATCTGCTAAAAGATGAGAAAGATGTACACTTCTCATTCGGAAGCGTTCAAAAGAATGGGATAAGTCAAGCTACGCGTGGGATGCAAACCTCCAAATTTTGCCTCAACATAGCGGGAGATACTCCCTCATCAAACCGCCTCTTTGATGCCATCGCCAGTCATTGTGTTCCTGTCATCATTAGCGATGACATAGAGCTTCCATATGAAGACGTTCTCGACTATTCATCCTTCTGTGTGTTTGTCCGCACAGCAGATGCCCTCAAGAAGAACTTCTTGGTTAACTTCATTAGAAGTATCGGAAAGGAAGAGTGGACTAGAATGTGGCTTAAACTAAAGGAGGTCGAAATGTTTTTTGAGTATCAGTACCCTTCTAAGAAGAATGATGCTGTCCAGATGATCTGGCAGGCCATTTCCCGTAAGCTCCCTGCTGCTCAATTGAAGATACACCGAAACGGGAGATTTTCTCGAACTACTACTGTTATTTGAATGTTTCATACTAAGGTATATGTTATCACATCATGAACAATGGCAATAATAGTGTGGTACTTGTTGGGGAACATTACAAAGATTGAACCTGAATGCAAGTGTGCATGATTAATTGATTATACAAGGGATGAACAAGATGCTGCTTGCAAAATAAACTAGGTTGGTTGGTGCTTTTACGTATATGGATATGATCTAAAAGATGAAAGAAAACAATACTCCCTCCGTCTACAAAAAGAATATTAAAAAAATATAGATTTTTTCAATTTCTTTATACTCCCTCCGCCCTAAATTGAGTTGCAAAATTGACTTTTTTGAGTCAAATAAATTCATTTTATTCACTTACTTAGGATATTAGTTCTTAAATTAAATTTTAACGTGGATTTTACAACTTCATAGAGATTTTAATGTAGGTTCTGAATATTTAAATTTTATATATTAAAATTGAATTAATTATCAATAAGAATTATTTATTTTTAACTAAAAAAATGTTGAGTTTGCAAAACAATTTGGGATAGAAGTAGTATGTAATATTGTTACCAATCAAGAAAAATTATTAAATTTGATTTTTATAAAAATTAGATCATAAATAAAAAAGTTATAACAATTTAAGAACAAAAGAGGAGACAAAGTTTTTAGTATGCTTCAATAAGTGAATTGTTCCCTTTGTCTTTTGATTACATATTCTTGAGTTGGGAATTGGGATCTATTTTGCATGTTCAGGCTAGATCCGATGCCTGATTTTTGTTTGTATAGTGTTAACAATTTGGTGGAATTTAATGTGGGCTGAACCTACCAATATCTATAGTTATGATGTCCATGAGTTCTCCTATAGATGATGCATGGGTTATTCACCTCCATGGGTCGTATAGGGGTGGCGAGTGAGAAAATACAGTTAAACCATTTGAAAGAGTTTATTATAAACTTTCATTAATTAGAGGCTGGGAATATAGTTAAACCCTTTTCCACTCATTTTATAGTTGATAATTAATTAAAATAAGTTATCAAACTCTTCTGAAATCTGATTTATATCTGAAAGTTTCATATTTTATTCGTAATTTGGTCATTTTCTTCTAAAATCAAAACAAAAAATACACAAACCCCCTAAAGAAACATAGATTGGTTCAATTTTCAAAACAACTTTATATTTGTTAAAGGGAAATTACCCAAAATAGGAGCAAATGACATTTCGAATTCCAAAAATAGGACTAGTATGTTTTTCTTCCCGAAACAGGAGTTATTACTGTCATGTATGAAAAATAATGTCATGATTGAAAAATACTGTCATTAATTATAATAAATATTGTCATGTTATTTGGCAGTCACGGCTACAAGATGACAGTAAATATTGTCATGTTAGTCCCATTTCGGGAATAAAAACAAAGTGGTCCTATTTTGGAATTTCAAACTTCATTTACTCCTATTTTGAGAAATCTCCCTTTATTAAATTAAAGTGGGCGGTTACCAGCTCAAAACAAATTATTAAATGCTAGGAGTATAGTGGAAAATAATAAATAAATGGCAAACACTTATTAGAGTCTGTTACTAAAAGAGACATTTTCTAATTTTACAGAAAACTAGAAAAAGGAAAACAGAAATTGTGTTTACTAAAAAAATTGTTGGAAAAATTGTTGGAACACATAACTTAACTTTTGATTTGTGCGTTGAATTACGTAATAATAAGAAATCATAAGGTTGATTAAGCCGACTTCGGTGTTACCAAACGGGCTTTAAAAATTATTTATATATCTAAAGTTAAAACATTTCATAAATCATAAGAATCAGCCAATCAAGTCACTCCAATCATAACTTAATAAACTTTAGCATAATCAGTTGATTAAGCCGACGGTTTAGCATAACTTAATAAACTTTAGCATAAACTTCGGTTTAGCAAACGGGCTCTAAAAATTATTTCTATATCTAAAGTTAAAACATGCTTCGTAATAGTAATAGTAAGGGATTATGATGAGAATATTGCTTAAATTAACTAATGGACAAAAAAGAGATTAAAAAGAGATGAAAACGATGTTGTTGCAATGACGCCGCAATGAATTTGCATACTTACACCTAGTGGTGGGTTAGTGGGTACAGTCCCACTCCAGTGTCAATTCTAGTCTGATCTGGTCAATGACCGAACAGTGCCTATCCGGTCCGGTCAACGACCCGATTGTCCCTATCTAGTCCGATAAATGACCCAGTGATCCTGTCCTGTCAACAACCCGGTGGTCCCTCTCCAATGCGGTCGACTGTCAAGCAATCCGGTCCGGTCGACAACCCGACGGTCCCGATCTAGTTCGGTCGACACCCCGACGATCCCTGTCCAGTTCACCAATTGGTGGTCCCTGTCTGGTCCGGTCCACGACTCGGTGGTCCATGTGCGGTCAATGACCTAGCGGTTCCTGTCCGGTCCAATCCAGGATCAGGCGGTACCTATTGAGTCAAATTGACGGTTGGGCAGTCCCGGTCTGATCCTGTCCTCCGGTCAAATACCTGACAGTCCCCGTCCTATCCCGTCAATGACTCAGTGGTCCCCATCATGTCAGGGCAATGACCCTGCAGTCTCTGTTTGGTCTGATCGACAATCGGGCAATCCCGGGCGGGTGTTGTCAATGACCCGGCAGTCTCTGCACAAGCCGATCAATGACCCGGCAGATCGGTCTCGGTTTTTTGAAATCATTTTTTAAAGTGAAAAGTTGTAAAAGAATCTTGGGTTTCAACCAATAGGGAAATGATAAAGGAATTAGTCAAACTAACCGTTGAGATCGATCGGGACCGACCAGTTTCGGTCCTGACTTTTCTATACCTGGGACCTGGTACCCTATTGGGTTGTACTAGGTTCGGTTCCAGGCTGAGACCGTACTTTCGGTCTTTTGGTCGGTCATAGAATCAGGTGAAAAAATTTGATAAACATGTTTTCAGATTTGAAAATGTAAAACTAAAAAATAAAAATAAAAAATTGGAGATAGAAAAACAGGAAACTGAAAACAGAAAAATTGGAGAACGAAAAACAGAAAAGAAAACTGAAAAATATCTTTGTTACTAAACTGAAAAACAGAAAAGAAAACATCATGATTAGGGCAGAGCACGAGTCGGGTTCGGGCGGGTCGGGTTCAAAAATGATAAACCCGTTCGGCTATCGGATTGATAATTTCAAACTCTACCCTATCAAAAAAATTATCGGTTTTTTTCGGGTTGAAGAAATTCAGGTTGCGGTCGGGTTGATTCTGGTTTCGGGTGCATTCGGATTTTAATTTATTATTGTTGAAATTGTGATAAATAAAATGGTAATTGGTAAAAATATCATTCAAAGTTATACTAGTATATCATTCAAAGTAATAGTTGTATAAATACGGTAAATCGACATATTTGAACATGTAAAATAATAATATACGGTGATTGACATAATTGATATTGTGATAAATAAAATGATAATTGGTCAAAATATCATTCAAAGTCATAAAAATACAACATTCAAAGTTATAGTTGTACGAATGCGGTAATTGGAATATTTGAACATGCATAATATGATAATTGACATATAATAATTGAGATATTTGAACATGCATAATCATTTAAAGTAGTATATATACTATCCTAGTTCGGTTTTTCGGGCGGGTCGGGTAGCATAATTGGTAACCCTACTCGCTAACCGCTTAAGTCTCTTGTTGCAAAAATCGGATCGGGTTTGGGTATTTCAGGTCGGGTTTTCCGACCCCAACAAAAAAACCGGATATATCTGATCGGGTCAATCGGGTAGGGTCGGGTTTGCTCTCCCCTAATCATGATGATGATGATCAAACCAAATCATTCGATTTGAGAAACTTGTTACCAAACGGTTTACTTAAGTAAAACAAACGAAACCAAACCACCGATTTTCGATTCAATTCGGTTCAATTTGATTCAGTCAAACCAAACCATTTTACCCAGTCCTAACCTCCGTACAACCGTGAAAAGCGAAATATGATATACCGATTACCGAGTCCACGTAAATTAAAAGCATCTAGTAATTTTAGTTATTCCATAATTGGAATTACCTAACCGAAATAACCCACAGTTTTTGCAGTGGACCAGGGAAGTGGAAGGAATAGTAAGAGATGCCCAAACTACTCGCAGTTTTCCAATTTGTCTTTCCAATCTTGCGGGCGGTACATATTAAATAAAGAAGGATTCACAGAAATCTAATCCACAAAAAAATCAAAACAAAATACTTCGCACCCAAAAAGAAGAAAAATTTAAATTAGAAATAAAAAAAGAATTACCAGAAACAAGAGAATTGATTCTCTCTCCATGGCCCCTGGTTTTGGCTTTCTTCTTCATCCACCATCTCGGATATATATACAAACAGGCATTCCTGTACGGTCTCATCCTTATCATCTCAGATCTCTCGCCGCTTCATCTATTGGACGACAATCTCGAGAACGCCTATTACATCAAACGCGCGGAGCTATATATGACGGCGGTGGAGGCTGCGTCGGCAGGAAGGCTGTTGGAACCGGCCAGAGAAGCTACTGCTTCTCCGATGAGGCACGTCAACACTGGTGTCGGTAAGGGCGGTATACTGAAGAAGAGATGCCGGAATACGAAAGCGGCTAAAAGGCCTTGTGATGTCAAGCCCAGGGCGGTTCCTGAAAGTTTGCAGTTGCAGCGGTTGTTTATGATGTGCCACCAAGTGTTCAAAGGCCCCGGCACCGTCCCTTCCGATAGTGATGTGGAGAAGCTCTGCCGCATTCTAGGTGAGCGTCCGAATTTTCTGAAGCTATTCTGTAATATTATGACCTAAATCTATTGCGATTTTTTCTTTAACTTCGTTGAGGATTTCATTAAGGTGATCCCATTGTGATATTTAGGCCATAATGCATTTAACCTTCCATAAAAAAAGATTTATTTGACAATTGTTTTTTAGTAGCGATTCATCATTATTTCAGAGAACTGCTGAAAATGCATGGTAATATCAAGCCTGTATATTGTCCCGAGTAAATAAGTATGGCTAATGTGCACGTTTCTTGAATCACTCCAAAATTATTACATTAGGTAGCAGGGAAATAGGACAGTAGGTATATTTCCACGATTCCACTTCTGCATATATTTGTCCCAAATGCTCCTCTGGGTTTGAATGTAACGAAAATGGGTGGGCTGTTCTCCTCTTAAGGGAATACTATTGCAAGATCTGATTATGCGCTTGGAGAAGTTTTATATGAAACTTTATTTGAAATGAAATTTATGAATCCACTCCTGTCTCCCTTGTTCTTCGACATTAAGGAATTCAGACCACCCCAAGTGGAAAGAGACGGGAAAAGTAAAAAAAGTAGGAAAGTCATTTGTTTATAAACATCAGTTTTGCCCAAATTTTAAGGAATTTAGACCATCATAAGTGGAAAGAGCGGGAAACGGTACAAAGTAGGAATGTACTTCGTGGACAAATTAGATTTTGCACAAATTTTAAGGAAGGTAGGCCAGACCCCATGTGGAAAGAGTGGAAATGGAGTAAAAAGTAGGAGAGAAGGGAAAGTTACTATTAATAATTTACTATAAATGGAAATGGGAAAAAACTTTTAGAGAGGCAGAAAAGGAAATGGGAAGACTATAAAGGGAATTATCCAAAATGCTCAGAACATTCAAAGTGCACATTTTCTCAAAAATAAATAGTGAGTTCATTATTAATGAACAATTAGTCAGTTCAGGGTAAATAATCAGTTACTTAGCATCACTCCATAGCATTTTCTGAAAGGTAACTCTGGGTCTTAGTCTGGCAGCAGTTAGCATATGGCTGTAAATGATATCCGGTAAATTTAATGGGGTGATTGTAGGATTTTAGTAAAGCAAGTTAGCATGCATTGACTCACCGCAATTGGTTGGAGTGGATTTCACTCTTTAAGATTTAAATCAGACAGGGCTTTAGAGTTTAGAGTGCAAATGATGGAATAAAGTAAAATGGTTCACTAAACTGTTTGCGCTTCTTTATTTTGAAGCATTAGTCAGTCCATGTAATTTTCGAAGTGATTTTCACTATGGGTCATCTGAAAACGGTCTCTTTGTGCTTTAGTACATGGGCGTACATCTGACCCCCCTATCCCACCGAAGGTGGGAGCCTTTGCGGCACTGAGGTAATGATGATGAATGATGATGATGAGGGCTTTAGAGTGCAATGTGGGATGTTTTTGCACAGCCAAAACAAAAGTTATGCAGGCATTCCTTGCATTCTTTGCACAGCCAAAACAAAAGTTAGTTTGCTTTTAGTCTTCTGAGTTTTTACTATCCTTTGTAGACGATATGATGCCAGAAGACGTTGGACTGAGCAGCAATCTGCAATTCTTTAATCCTAAAGGTGTGGTTGAAGGTAATCCAAGAGTCACAAACACAACGATCTACAAGGGCAACAACTTCTCGGTAAGAAGAAATTCACTAAACTTTCCAATTCTCTTACACGCAGGATGTTCTTATTATTCTGTCTATGGAACTTTGTGTGTATCAAATGTTATTGTACTATGTATAGTTTTACTGGATCCACGGTTTTATTTATTTGTTTTGTGTAATTAAAAGTATGGAAGTGGCAGCAACTAAATCATCTTCATCCAACTTGTCATATGCAGTTGTGCATTTTCTTTCTTCCTTCAGCTGCTGTTATACCCTTACACAATCATCCGGGAATGACAGTTTTCAGCAAGCTTCTACTGGGAAGCATGCACATTAAATCGTATGACTGGGCTGATGTGCCATCTTCAGCTGCTACAGGTGACAGACTATGCAACTCCTCAATCTGTTAATTATTTCCTAATATGAACACACACCCAAAGACAAAATATTTCTGCTAACATTTTAGTGATTTTACATACACTGAAACAAATAAAGCAGTACCCCTCATGTATCAATCTGTGTTTTCTAAAATTTCTAGGTGATTCAAATCGAGATGGATGCACAATGAGATTGGCAAAATTGAAAGCAAATAAAACATTCACAGCACAATGCAACACCTCTGTCTTATATCCTACATCTGGAGGAAACATTCATGAATTTAGGGCTATTACACCATGTGCAGTGCTTGATGTGCTTGGACCGCCATATTCCAAAGATGATGGGCGTGATTGTTCATATTACAGGGACATTCATTATGGTGCTTCATTAAGTAGGTTTTCTCCATCCTAAAGTATGCTTGAGTTCTACATTATATTTTATTCAAGTCCACTAGAAATCTCAAGTTAATGCATGCTACATATACCATTTTAGACGCTATGAATAGTAAAACATGTAATGTGATATAAATTATATAATATATTTGGTGCTTTTGTGTGTAAAAAAATTTCCTGTGAGAATTGAGAACCAATGGGATGCATTGGATTCTAGATATAATGACTCTAAAAGTGCAAAAAATGATGAAAATGCAGTGGCAATTTTGTAATAAGGAAAACTTTTTTTGCCAACTAAAAAGTGCTGCGTTAGGCAAATTTAATGTGTGTGCTTGTATATAGAGAAAGAGATTTGCTGTATCCTTTTAAGGCAGGCAGAGAAACCAGATCCATAAATAACTGGCTAGATTGCCTAAAAGTATCGATTTCTTCTATCTTGAGCGATGACTTTGGATAATCTTTTGTTTCCCTTTCCTAAGCTTGCGGTCTATTTCACCTAATTGTAATTCTACTCCGTATTTCTTACCCTTTCCTAACCATAATTTGTCAATTTGCATTGTCAGGCGGAGATGTGAATGTTGCAGAAGCAGATGAAGATAATGACCTGTATGGATGGTTAGAGGAGATTGAAATACCAGAGGAGTCAAAAATGGATGTTATCCAGTACTTGGGTCCACGGGTTGTATAGAGTAGTAGAATTCTTAGTAGGCTCTCAAATGCAGGTTGCAGTTTTTGTTTCGTTTTCATTAGAGAGGTAGGATGCCCTTTTTTTCTTCCACTGCCCATAGTTACTGTCTTGTTTCCAGATATCATCATGTAACATGTGTATGCCTACACTCGGTTTGTAGATTTAGAAGCTTTCCTTATAGTTGTATATAAATTACTGCGAGATGTATATAAAGTTATAAATAGATAGAAGGGTTTTATATGGAGGCTGGCAATTGAGAAGTCCTTTTTGTCATTTGGAAAGGCTTATACGGGGAATGTTCCAAACATTCTATTTTTTTTTTTTTTTGGCAATTTGGTTGATCCTAATTTTTTGCAATCCCGTTAGTTACAAACTTACAATATCAAATTTGGCTAAATTGGTTAGAATTGTTAAATTTTGAATGAAAATTATGAGGAAGATTAAGTTAACATTTGTACCATTTTTTAAAATCATTTTTTAGTATTATTGTTTTTATTATATAAGGCGAGTCAAAGCCTCAGGACTCCGTTGCATAAAGTCATGCGGGGTGAAAATAGGGCATGCTGGGGTGGAGACAGGGGAGGTTGGCTGAGCCCTGGCCCCTAAGAAAATAATTTATAATGTGTATACAGCTATACACATGTATAAATATTAAGTTTTGATCACTCAATTAGGGGTGGATCTAGGGGTGGATTCGGGCCGGGTCTGGGTCGGGCCTAGGCCCGGGCGGGCCGGCGGTTATGAATAGGTGGACCCGGGACCGGACCGGGTAGCCACCGGGTCCGGGCCGGGCCGGTCGGGCCTCGGGCTTGGTTAATTTTTTTTTTGCTTACCTACCTATCCTTGACCCCCTAACCCCCCCCCCCCCCCCCCCAAACCCCTCCTTAACATCAAGCCCAACCTGGGTGAAGCCCAAAAAAATGAAAAAAAAAAATCAATTTGGCCCGAACCGGGCCCGACCTCCTTTTTACCAATCCGAGCCCGCCTCGCTCAGCCTAAATAACCGGGCCTTAGATCGATTTTGGGCCCGAAGAACCGGGTCGGGTCGGGCCCGCACAGTAGCGGGCCGGGCCGGTTCCCGGGCCTGGTGGCTCGAACTGAGTCCACACCTAGGTGGATCGGTGAAACCGAAAATTGAATCGAAAAAACTCGAACCACAACCATAACAACCAAACGGCAAGGAAACCGGAATCGAACTCAAAAAACCGAATCGTAGTTGTTTAATTTCGGTTTTGGTTTTCACATCTCAAAACCGAACCGAACAAAACGAACTTTTAAAAACTTGCCATTTAATTTAATAATCCTTAAGTATAGTAATTTTGTTTAGTTCTTAATTCTTAATTCTAAAAAACTAATGTTTGATACTAGATTAATTATGATTTGCAAGATATTAACATTTAATATTTATGGCTTAATTAGGTGAAACGCTTGTACATACACTTAAATACATTACTATAATACTAATATGTTGATATTTTAAATCGTAATTTACATTTTACTTGTCGTTGCATGACAATGATATTTTGTTGATATATTATTTGTTATGTATGTTTGTTATCACATAATTTTTATATTAAACAAATATGTATTAATATAAACTGTACTTAAAACAATATAGTTGAAATGAGCATAAAGAAAATAGAGCAAGTTATTTACTATTAAGAAAAGTCTTTTAGTGAAAAAGAAAATGAATTAATGGACACAACATTTACAACTAAAATTGTAACATGAATACACTATGTGTTTAATTAATTTAGAAAATGTATAAATTTGTATTACACGTACTCTCATATTCATTGATTGGAAGTGCATTTGTTTCTTCTCTCATTTTTAATTATCTTTTTGTATTGTATTACTCTCGATTATAGTTTGTTGTAGTTTGTTTTTTTATTTTTGTTTTCCGATTACTATTTTTCAATCAACAAATAGTTTTTGGCAAAAACCTAAAAACCCCGAAATCGAACTGAAATAAACTGAACATACCGCGATTCTAAATTTTTGAACATAAAACCAAACGAAATCAAACGAATTTTTTACTTTGGTTTGACATTTGGTTTTAGGTGAAATTGAACCGTTTGAGATGCACCCATGACCCACCCATACACTCAATATAAAGTCATGCCGGACATCAGGGATGGATTCGGGCCGGGTCGGGCCCGGGCCGGGCCTAGGCCCGGTCGGGCCGCCGGTTCAAGAACAGTGGGCCCGGGACCGGCCCGAGGGTTGGACGGGTCCGGTTCGGGCCGGGCCACCCGCCCGGGTCACGGGTCGGATCCGGTTCGGGCCGGGTCGGTTAATTTTTTTTTTTATAATTTATATTTTATATTTTATAGTTTATAGTTTTATAAGAGTATTAAAAACAAACTTCAATTGCATTTATTTGAAATGAAATAGGAACTACATTTGAAAATTAAAACAAACTTTAAGAGAAACATTTTGAAAATTGTAATCAATCGGAACTTCCCGCACCTCCCGATCCTTTGGCTTTGTGACCTTTGTCACATGACTTCATATGCTTGATTGCATTCCCGAATCCGCCTGAAGCCCCCATAATACATTTTTTTTCGCACCATTTGCAAATTGCGTACCACATCCCGGTCTTCGGGTCCTTCTGCTTATCAAAATTATACCGTATAATGGCATTTTGATTTTCCATCTTAACTTCTTGGAGAAGAGAATTAGAGAGTAGATATATAATATATTGGAGAATAAGAGAATTAGAGAGTAGAGAGTTAAGAATGAATTTAGGAAGAATTGGAGAAGAGATATGAAAAAATGTTTAAGAGTAGGGATGGACTCGGGTCCGGGCCGGGTCCGGGCCGGGTCCGGGCCGGCGGGTCAGAAAAGGTGGACCCGGGACCGGCCCGGGTAACCACCGGGTCCGGTCCGGGTCCGGGCCGGGCCGGGCCGGGCCCATTATATTTTTTTTTGTTTTCCTCTTCCTAATTAACCCCCTCCCACCCCCAACCCCCCAAACCACCCCAAATGGCCCAAAATACCCAGCCCAACCCGAAAATTTAAAAAAAATTGAAAAAAAAGAAAAAAAAAATAGTTTTTGGCCCGAACCGGGCCCGGGCCCGGCCGGGTCGGGCCTTGTTTTGGGTGACCCGAGCCCGGACCGGAAAACCCACGGGCCGGGCCTACCCGGACCGGTCACTGACCGGGCCACCGGGTCGGGCCGGAACAGTACCGGTCCCGGGCCGGTTCCGGGTCGGGCCACCCGGCCCGAGTCCATCCATATTTAAGAGTAGGAGTATTTATAGGTTTTTTTACCCCCCACCCCCCCACCCCCCCCCCCACCCCCCCGGACCCCCCCTTTACCCCACCCAACGGCTATATAGCCGTTTGGGTTGTCCCCAGCCCCACCCCCAAGGCCTCAACGGCTAGTAGCCAAAAATCAAAAAAAAAAAAATTTAAAAAAATAGACCCGGACCCGGACTCGGGCCCGACCCGGCCGGGCCGGGTCACAAAAATGCTGAACCGAGCCCGCCCCGCCCCTTCCCCCCGGTTCGGGCCCATACCCGGTCCCGGACCGCCCGACCGGGCTGGTCCCGGGCCCGCACATTGCCGGGCCGGGCCGGGCCGGGTCACGGGTCGGGTGGCCCGAACCGAATCCAACCCTACCGGACATAAAAAAAAGTCATGCCACTAGTGTTGGACTCGGGCCGGGTCGGGCCCGGGCCGGCGGTCCTATATAGCTGGACCCGGGACCGGCCCGGGTAGCCACCGGGTCCGGTCCGGGTCCGGGCCGGGCCTCGGGTTTGGTTAATTTTTTTTTTTTTTTTTGCTTAGCTACCCATCCCTGACCCCCCCCCCCCCCCCTCATCCCCCACCCCCCAAACCCCTCCTAAACATCAAGCCCAACCCGGTGGAGCCCAAACAAATGAAAAAAAACCAAAAAAATAAATAAATTTGGCCCGAACCGGGCCGGGCCTTGTTATGGGTGACCCGAGCCCGGACCGGAAACCCACCGGGTCGGGCCTACCCGGACCGGTCACTGACCGGGCCACCGGTTCGGGCCGGGCCGGAACAGTGCCGGTCCCGGGCCGGTTCCGGGTCGGGCCACCCGGCCCGAGTCCAACCCTACATGCCACCATGCTGGCACAGTGATTCTTTAATTTGTTGTCTCTTTCTATAACTTCTCCATGTCTCTCAGATAGACTTGGACTCGGGCCAGTTCGGGCCCGGGACCGGCCCACGGTAAAGGTGGTTCCGGTTCGGGCCGGGTCACAGGTCGGGCCACCCGCTGGGCCAGGCCGGTTAAATATATATATATATATATATATATATATATAATTTATACTTTATAGTTTTATAAAAATGTTAGAAAATAGAAGTATTTATAGAAATTTTTGAAACATATAAAAAAAATGCTACATATAAAAAGAATGAACGTTTATTTATTTGAAACATGAACTACAAGTTTACAAGTTACAATTGAAGGTAAAATTAAAACATGAAATAGTGAAATACTAATCAATCGTAATCTCCGTAATAGGTAGAGTCACCCTCGATTGTAGATTCATCCATAAAATGTTGGGATGGGGTGATGTCAATTTCTTGAGCTCTACGGGCCGCCTTCAACCAATCGTGGTAGCATATAAGCATCTCAAGAGATTTTGCGCTCAACCTCGTTCTACATTGCGTTAGGACATTGTCGGCCGAACTAAATTCTTGTTCGACGGCAACTGTTGAAACCGGCAGATCAGATTCTCGGTGTTTAGGTTCTTCCACTTATCAAAATTATTTTGCATTAGTTCAGATCTACTTTTTTTCGTACCTGTTTGGGATGAGGCAGGCTCGTCGGCGTCGTGGCTGCCGCCACCCTCCTCCGCGTCGCCGTCGTGGCTCTCCGGAATTACTTCCTCCACATCGTCGTTCTCGAGCTCTTCTTCGTCAATGGTCCTCGGCTGGTCTTGGAAAAACCGACTATTATGTCGGTGCAATTCTTGTTCAAGTTGTTCATCGGTCATGGACTTATGGCATCCCCATCCCTCCTTGCATAACCTGTATCAAAATCATCTCGGCTTTGAGATGAAGAGTCCATATGTGATTTACCTTTGCGGGATTTCTTCCTCGCAAGCTCGTTCGTTCGGTTGCGCTCGAGGTTACCCATTTCAACCGAATATCTACCACGTTCCATCTTAAAAATGTAACAAAAAACAATTCGAAGTAATGAAATAAAATTCTAACAATTCTAACTTTAATGAAATAAAATTCTAACAATTCTAATCAAGTAGATATAAATTGTAATATGTATGTATTTAGTAGATATAAGTAGATAATAAGTAGATAATAAGTAGATAATAAGTAGAGATTAAGTAGATAACAAATATAAGTAATATAATATATGTATTTTTAAATAGATAAGTAATATTTAACTATATAAGTAGATAAGAAATATAAGTAATATAAATTATAATATATGTATTTCTAAGTAGATAAATAATATAAGTAGATATATAATATATTGGAGAATAAGAGAATTTGAGAAGATGAAGATAATTAGAGAGTAGAGAGTAGGATTTTGGAGAAGATATATGGAAAAATGTTTAAGATTATGAGTATTTATACTTTTTTTACCCCACTATCACCGTGGGGTATAGAAGATATAGTTTTTCTAAGTAGTTTTTTTTTTACTCTCACTATCACCGTTCTTAATCATGTCCTGCATATGAGAGTATATCTTTTCCTTCTCTAAATAGAAGTATTAATATTAAGTACTACTCCTTCCGTCCCATATTTATCTTCGTAGTTCGGTTTACGATGTTTGACTGAAGATAAAACAACTTGATCCCTCTTCACACTAAGATTATTTTTAGCAAACTAAATTTACATATTCAAAAACTACATTAAACCCGCTACAAAGGTTGATCAAGAAAATTTAAGTTTGATAAAAATTTGATATATAAAGTAAAAGTTTAAGAGTAATTTGAGTTGACCGTGTGAATAGTAACTATGAAGATAATTTTGGGACGGAGGGAGTATCATACTACATTAATGCATCACTGGCGTTTCAGACATTAATATGAGCAATGAAAAAAAGAGTGAATCTAAGCACATATATGTTAGAATATGCTATATCTAAATATTTTTTTATACAGAAACTATGTTCTCGAAATTCATGCAGATCATAGATAAACTAATACAAAGTAGGGATGGACTAAACCGGGCTGGGCCGGGCCGGAACCAGCCCAGCCCGCTACTGTGCGGGTCCAGACCGGACCGGGACCGGTTGACCAGTTCCGGGCTTTTAGCTCGTTTGGGCGAGTCGGGCGAGCCAGGCTCGGGCACAACATTTGTTGAATCAGCCTGGGCAGTTCGGGCCGGGCCTGATTCAATTCTTTTTTTTTCAATTTTTTTTTCTTTTCCTAGGGTAGGGCTGGGTGTTTTGGGGAGGTTTGGGGGGTAGGGGTGAGAGGGGGGGGGTCGGGGGGATAACAAGAAAGGCAAAAAAAAAATAAACATGGAACTGGGCCCGGCCCGGTTAGGCCCGGACCCGGTATCAACCAGGACCGGTTCCGGGCCCAAGTAATTGCAAAAAAAGCCCGCGCGGGCCCGGCCCGGGTCCATCACTAATACAAACCATATAATGTATACCCTCGCCAAAATTAGAATAGTTTTACTTTTAGGACGGACAAAAAGGCGTGTTGCCTTGATGTTATCTCAATCATTATTGGTTTACAGTCTTTCACAACTGTGCAGCGTATCTTAACAACGGTTTCAAAACTCATGCAGAAAGAGTCGTAGTAAATGTCAATGAAGCTTAAATATGGCCTTATAGTGATCTAGAAATACTTAACTTTAACAATTCCCAGAACTATTTGATACAACATAATTTACTTTACATTTTACTGTCAATTCCCTTCAAAATTAGTTATGTCCTTTCAACCTTAACAGTGGAAAACGAAATTCAAATGGAAGTGTATATAATGACTTAATAAATGAATTTGCATCTAAAAAGGAATGAAGGTAAATTTCAACTAAGAATGTGTTATGTCTCTAAAGTTCATTTATAGGTGCAGAAATACAATTAAAAGATTGGGATGCAGAATGGCAGAAAATGAACAAATCTCTTTGCATAATGGCAGATACAACACTTGACCCAACAACTCCCTTAGGCGCCTAGCAAAGACCTGCCACAGACGGTGGGTGTGACTAGGGAAGGATAACAAACCCGTAGACTTTTTGGTGCTATTTAAATAAAAATAAACAAGAATCCCAGACGAAACCGCCAATAAGGAGATCTTCAACCATCTTGCCTCCTCTCCTTTTTCGAACTATTTTTAGACAATACTAAACCCCACCCTACTTTAGTACGGAGTATAATTTAGTTCCTTGTAAATATATTTAACAATATGTACCATCCACCCTGCCCTGTCCTAAATTTCATACCATTAGGGGGTAAAAGGAATAGCACTCTCAGATGCGAAATCTGGAAGAGTGTCAAGCAACATGACTGGTCATCTGATTGCTCCCAGTAGGTTGGCTCCATCAAGCCTTGCACCTTCGAGATGCTGCAAAATTAAAACATGAGTAAAATTAAAAGATACAGGACCAGAATTACAGTTTGGGGTTCTTTAGATATTCAAATAACACTTACTGTCTCACGAAGATTGACATGTCGGAGATAAGCTCTTTGAAGATTTGCACCCTTTAGATTGGCATTTGATAACTTTGCACCCTGAAAGAGAAGAAGCTTACTTAGTTGATGATTCTATCCTGGGTCAACCTCCCAAAAATAAGAGTTCTAATGTCTAAGTTGGTCTGTTATTTTATATTTAGCCAATGTATGAAAAACTTTTCCTCATCAAGACTATGCATCTCATCCGGTGTGTGCAATTCTTGATTTTCTTTTCTTATAGGAGCACACATCCCTTGCATTGGACCGTGCGATTTTTTCATCTCTGACAAGGTCTACAACTTGTCTTTGACCGTGGATTGTCTTCACCGACAAACAACATGGTTATAAATCCGTTTGATTCTGAAACCATATTAAGACTTGAGTTTCATCCCGAAGGAATCAACCTGATATGAGAAAGTATTGTATGTTGATTTGTTATTTCATATTTTACCATATGATGTAAACTCTTCAACAGTGATGATATCATAACACGATGATGGTGGTCATGCTTAATTATTAATAAATAAAGATTATGTATTTTATTTTATACCTTCAGATTGGCCCCTTCCAAATTGGCTCCTTCCAAGTTGGCATTGGTTAGATCAGCAGTCTGAAATCATGTTACACAAGCAACAACTTAGAGTACATGACTACATTCTAAATATAATTTTTTCTACTCATCTTAAGACAAGCGGCGGGGAAATTATTTTATCTTCAAAGTAATTACTGGATTCTCGGAGCAAATGAAAAATTCATATGACATGAATAAACAGTGTAGGTAGATCCAGCATAGCTACGACAACGTATATAAAGAGTCAATCATGTACTAAACCTGCAGGTGTGCTGACCGCAGGTCTGCGCCGCAAAAGCTGCAGTCAATGAGGCAGGCATCTGTAACAGAGTAGAAACTGAGTATTGGTGCAAGTCTGAGCTCATAATTAACTGCATCATTATATTTCATTCATATGATGTTTTCTGATATGGTTTCATTTGACACTCCTATTTTGGAATTCCCAAGCGTTTTTATTCCTACTTAAAACACTTTTTTCCATGTTAAAATCCCCAAAAGAGGAGTAACAACGTTTTGGATTCCAAATATGAGTATTTTTTTACATTACCAGGCTTTAAATAAGGCAGTATACTGCCATAAGTGGGCGTATTTTCCAAGCTTGACAGTAATTACTCTTTGCTTATGTAGAGAATAAAATCATAGCACTCCTGTTTTGGAATTCCCAAACATTTTTACTCCTATTTAGTAATTAGGACAATTTTTTTCATTTATCATTCATAAAATTTAGAAACGAATATAAAGGCGTGTTATTGTTTCGCCTATTCAGGCCAATGAACAGAATTAAAATACATGTAATCCATATCTCATGCAGGTTATATTTACACTTTACTACATGTGTAAGCCTTTAAAGCCTTGCATTAATGAATTACATCAATGTAGAATAAACTTTACTTTAGTGTATGCATATGCATGGAAATAAAAGTCATGCACTCGGCACTCGGCAAGCTGCAAAATATAAAAATCTAGATTAAATTAACAGAACGTACGATCAGGACTATCATCAACTAAGCAAATGTAATTTTTAAATCTCGCATTTGGAAGATTTTTCTAAGGGCTTGTTTGGTTAGGGATTACACAGAAAGGGTATGGTAGGGATGATTTTTATTTTCAAATTATTTACGTATTTAGGTAGTTCGAAATCATTATTATCATTTCTCCAGTGCCGCAAAGGCACCCACCTACGGTGGGGTAAGGGAGGGAGGGGGAGATCAGATGTACGCAGCCTTACCCCTGTACTAAAACATAGAGAGACTGTTTCCAGATGACCCATGGTGACATTCGCGTCGAAAATTGCCATTTTGCTTTATTCCGTCATATTCCTAATCTAAAAAATAGTTCAAAATCATGTGAAATAAAAAAGCACATGAAAATACATGACCTGTGTAGTCCTATAAGTATTAGAGGACTGGTTAGTAAAACAAAACCCAATCATCTCATCCCTTTCCCTCCAAACTTGCCAAACCAACCGAGTCCGAAGAGTATGAGAAGGATATAAACACTACTGTGAATTTAATGATGATGGATTTACTTGTATACATATGTGCTACTAATGGTAGTATGGAGTACGGTACTAATGTAAACTGAAATAACTTGTTGAGTATTAGCGATTTAGGTCTCGCTAATCACACTAACAAGCCCTGACCAGTTTGCATTAGTATGATACTAATGTAAACTGAGAGCCCGTTTGGTAATCCCATTTTTTGGCTTATCAGCCATCATTTTTATTCCATAGAATCAAAATAGGGTGGATGAAATGGAAGATTGCATCAAGATTTCCATGTGATCGAGGTGTGCCGACTAGATTGAAGGTTGAATTAGGCCAGCATTACTATATGGCGTAAAGCTTAGTTTTATAAGGTGCGAGGCGGCTTGAGGCGTTTTCATTGAATTTAGCCGCATCACGAGGCGACATGAGGTGTTTTTATTGAATTTAGCCGAGGCATGAGGCGGCATGTGGCTTTTTCATTGAATTTAGCTGAGGCGTGAGGCCAAGACGCGCGCCTCATGCATCTTAACCTTATAGCTATGGTAAATAAATTTATGCTACTTATACATGATGCACTCTTCTCCCTTGGTTACTTTTGAACAAAATGTGCAAGTGCAATTGTTCCTATTTGTAGGATTCGGTGTCGCATATTTTCTAGCGAGAGAATTGGAATAACTCATGGAAGAAGTTGGATTTGAGTCCATTGAGTCCCTAACAGATATATGCTATTTAAGCAAACAGTAACGAGCTTCTACCAAAACCAAAAAATGTAAACAATCTAACTACTGAACTCTAGGCATTGGGACTGTTGAAGTAATGCAGTAACAAACATTCAAGTTTGTCTTATAAAATTAGAGTAAAATTGTAAAAAATTATACAATATGCTTTGAATGGACTATTGGAGAGCTATTGCCCAACTATTACTTATATACAAAACAATTAACAGTCAGTTTTTAATAAATTGTTATACAAACTATTAATTGTAATTGTTATATAAACTGTTAATAGTATATTTTTGATAAACTGGTAATAGTAACTTAAATAATTAATAGTAATTCCTGTAATAAACTGTTATATAAAAAATTGTTGATAATAAAAACATCCTTATATATTTGTTAAATAAAAGCAATCTGCTACTCTCGGACAATTGGATGGCTACCGCCTAAGTATTACTTAGGTATAAAACAGATAATAGTAGTTTTTTATTAAATTACATACAATCAATTTTCAATAATAATATTATAATAACTATCAGACATAAGTGTTATATAATAAACTATAAAATAATACATAGTTAATGGTTATATATTTAAATATATAAACAAAAATTCTGAATCGCAGAAGTCAGAAGCAGAAGGAAGAAGACCAGATAGAGATTTAGAGTTTGATGGAGTGAGGGGACCTTACCTTATCAATATGAAGTATATAAGACCTACAAAAATTCTGGAAGTAGCATCTTCTGAATTGCCAAAAGACTTAAAAGCTGAATAGCCAAAAGACTCAAAAAATATCATCGGACACTTGCATCTTCCATGAGGCGTGAGAAGCAAACGCCTCTCAAACGCGCAAAAGGCGGCAAAAGGCGGCAAAAGGTGCGCCTCTTGGAATCTACTACGCCTGGGAGTATATGATGCAATTAACATATCGCTAGGGTGCCTCACTCCAGGCACGCTTTTTTAAACCAAAGGCGTGTGGGCTGTCGGGCAAGGATAGTTGCGTGGGATGTATGGACATACTAGAAAATATCGTTTGAGGAATGAGACAAAAAGACAAAAGGTCAGAGTAACACCTATTAAAGATAAGATGTGGGTGTAATGCCCGAGATTAATTTAAGAGGATTAATAGTACTACTCATACCAACCGAGGTGCATCTCCTTTAAAGGGGGTTCATCACCCAAGAACTCCAAAGTTAAGTGTGTTTGTATGGGTGACCCCCTGGGAAGTTTCTCATGGCGCGCATGAGTGAGGACAAAGTGCGCGATAAAGGCTTGTGATGGTTTGTGAGGACAGTACTACAGATCCAAAGCGGTCAGAAGTAACTACCTCGGGCCCTACGGGGCGGGGTGCTATAGGTGGTATCAGAGCAACCCTGCGACAGTGTGCTGACCCGTTGGATATCGGGCGGGCACTTAGCGGGGCAAGATTCTGGGGTTTGATTGAGATTGTTAAGGGCGCAACGAGGACGTTGCGATCCTAAATGGGGGTGATTGTAATGCCCGAGATTAATTTAAGAGGATTAATAGTACTATTCATACCAACAGAGGTGCATCTCCTTTTAAGGGGGCTCATCACCCAAGAACTCCAAAGTTAAGCGTGCTTGTACGGGAGTAGTCTTGGGATGGGTGACCCCCTGGGAAGTTTCTCAGGGCGCGCATGAGTGAGGACAAAGTGCGCGGTAAAGGCTCGTGGTGGTTTGTGAGGACAGTACTAGAGGTCTGGAGGGTGTGTCGGAGTAACTACCTCGGGCCCTACGGGGCGAGGTGTTACAGAGGGAGTCTTGATTGCAGTGATTTGATCATGTGCGTGGAAGACCAAGTGATGCAATTATTAAACGAGTTGAAAGGTGTGGAGAAGAGGCAAGGAAGAGAGGGAGAGAAAGATCCAAACAGACATGAATAAGAGGAGTCATGAGTGATATGATTCTTCTTGGGTTGGATGAGAGTATAGCTTTGGATATAACAAAGTGAAGGGCAGGTATTCATGTAATGGATTAATCTCATCATTTTTTTAATCCTTTTATCTTTCTTATGTTTTTTATCCTTTTATCATTTTTTTGTTTTATATATATTCTTTTTATCATTTTTATCTTATCATATTTATTTTTATCTTCATCGATCATCGTATCTTTTTTATCATATCTTATCTTTTTATCTTTATTATCTATCTCTCCTTTTGGCTCTGATATCATGTATCGATTCGTGTTAGCCGACTCTAAAATCTTTTGGGACTAAGGCTTGGATATTGTTGTATCAGCCAGCTTTTCTACAAAGCACTAAACTTTTGATTTTATGTGTTAAATTGTGTAATAATCAAATTAAATAATGTTGAAGTTACGTTTCTGCTTGAATTTGCTTAAAAGGGATCTTTTTAGCCTTTCCTCATATAGTTTTTATTTATTTTACTACTAAAATATATTTTAGTAATGGGTTTTCATATTTCGGCGTATTCAACCACTTTAGTTGTTTCAACCAGAACTTTAATAATTTTAGCAGATTCAACCAATCTCAGTGTTACCAAATAGGCTCTGAATTAACTTGTTGAGTATTAGAGAAATTGATCAAGCTGATCACACTAACAAGCACTAACCAACTACATAGCGGATTTTAGTGATCAATGAGAATGTAAGGGTAATCTAACATTGTATATCTTGTTTATCCCTTAATACACCATGAATACACATATACACATGTGTAGAGAGAGGTGCAACCGGAATACATGAATAATACAAGGTATATTACAAATTTACAAGTTTACATACATGGGTAATATCAAGGGACAAGCATGCATAGCACTTGTTTAACCTCAATATAACTCACCTTGTAAGTTTGCACTTTGGAGATTTGCACCCGCTAAAACCGCTCTGCTCAGATTTGCTCCTGTAAAATCACATCTTCCAAAGGCAACAAATACAAATATATTAACTACATAAGGCCATCATGCAAAGGAATAAACACAAAGGGAGAAAGCAATTGTTTCAGGACTAACAGCCAAGAGAAGTGTCAGTGTACAGATAAAACATACTCCGTAGAATAGATAGCATGCTAGAAGAAGGCCCCAACACATTCAAGAGATGAATATACTCTCCCGCCCCATATATTGAGCCATATTTAAAAAAAAAAATTGTCCCAACAAAAGAGTCTTGCATGATCAAATTAAGATACTTTTTCAAGAAGTGTGCAAAAATAATAGAGTAAAAACAACTATGAAGTGATTAATTTAGTTAAACAATCATAAGAAGTTTCTAAATTATAAGAATCGTCTATGACATATAACAGCTGTACCTTGCCCAAAATAAGAAATTGTGTATTGATCAAATAAGACTCTCTTTTTGGGACATAGGGAGTAATAAATACAAAAATAATTGGCTAATTGCAAATCCTTACTCGCGTAGAGTGGCATTATGAAAAACGGAATCCACAGCATCTACATCCTACAACCAAGTTTTTAAACATGAATAAATTAGTAAGCATGAACTAATGGTCTGCGAAAATAATTAGTAGAAGTCCAAACCTACATCATAATAAATTTTTTTATCATTTCAATTTTATTGATCAGAGAAACTTGATAATAAGTATACACTAATATATTTATGTTGCCTTTTGTGCTTTCCAATCATTTTGGTACACTTGCAACTGCATAAACATTTGAAAACTGATCAGATAACAGTTTGTTATTATCAAAATTAGAAGTCAAGATGAAGACAAACTGATCAGATTACAGTTTGTTATTATCAAAATTAGAAGTCATGATGAAGACTTCAGGTCTTGGTTTTAAAGTAATGTAAGATACAAAGATGTATATCCTTTGGTTGCGTGCTCGATTAGGTTCCTAACCTTTACTTGTTCACTTGTTCGTTAGCCTAAACCTTTTTTTCCATATACCCAAGAGATTAAACAACAATTACAGTTTGGACTGAAAAATGGATGATTATACGCAAGGATAGGCACACACCCAATCCAGGTAGGGCAGTGGTCCTACCCGAATTTTAAGGCAGTGTCAAAAGACGCCGTTACAATTCAAAATAACGTCATTTTGAATGTTTTTAAATTTTAACTATCTATTGTTGATCAGCAGAAGATAAAACTCAGAGGACGGTCCAGAGCCCCAACGGACTTTTGTCTTCTAACCTTCTAAGATCTTATCTTCTCCTTTAAATCTCGTCCAGAATCCATGGCTCCGGACAGAGCTACCATTACAACCTCACCTCCACCACCTCCGGTAGTCCGGTGAACGTTTTTAGAAGGCAGACGTTGAGGCCAAGACCCATGAGTTTGAAGGCTAGGTGAAACTCGTCCAGAATCCATGGCTCCGGACAGAGCTACCATTACAACCTCACCTCCACCACCTCCGGTAGTCCGGTGAACGTTTTAGAAGGCAGACGTTGAGGCCAAGACCCATGAGTTTGAAGACTAGGTGAAACTGCGCAGAGTGTGGGCAGTGGCAGACCCACCAAGGGTCCCACGGGGTCCCGGGACCCCATGAACTTTCAAAAAAATACCTATATATATTATATGTATTTTATATAAATTAATAATACAATGCATATGTAAGGCGAAAGCTAATTGAGAACATGAAGTTGGCATTGGAGCAATGGAAGCGCGCTTGAATTTAAAAGTACCCACTTCACGGAGGTGCAGGGGTCGATTCCCTTAGGCATCACTTTTTGTTTTCCCTCTATTTATTAGGGAAAACAACTTTTTTGGCAAGGGATAACAACATAAATAGTACTAACACTAATACATAGCAATTCTTTACTAAAACATTAGTCATTTACTACCTCCGTCCCACTAACATTGGGACGGAAGGTGGCACGGTTATTAAGAAAAGTTGCTTTATGTGGTTGATATTGAATTGATAAAGTGGGAATAAAGCAAAAATGATTTAGAGCCACACAAACTTTACCAAATTTGGTATGAGACAATCTTAGTGGGATTTCCCGAAAAGGTAAAATGGGACAATATTAGCGGGACGGAGGAAGTAATTCATAAAAAACTGGTATCAAAATATAAAGTTAGTAAGCGTATTTCCGAATATTATTTATTGGTTCGATATTAGTTTTTATGTCTTAAATTAGTGGATTTTTTTAAAAAAAGTGACTCCATTTTATTTTTGTTCTACACTCCATTTTAAAAAAGTGACTCTATTTCTAAAGTATGTATTATTATTGGTTCATCGAAGATAGTTTGTATTATTTAAAGTTATTTTCCCTATTTATTATTTTAAAGTGTCATAAATAACCGTTCGTTTAGAAAATTATTGGAATAAACATACTATAGTTATAGGATATTATTTTTCTATCTGTGACATAAATATTATTTCTCTAAACGAACGGTTATTAATTTTCTAAATGAACGGTTATTTATGTCACTTCATCTTCTAAACGACCTTAGTTTTATATTAATTAGCGATTATACATATAAAAGGGTAGGGACCCCGTGGCTTCGACTTTCTGGGTCCGCCACTGAGTGTGGGCATGAAAAGAAATTTTGTATTTTTGTAAGTATTTATTATTATATAACAATATATAAGAAATACCCGGTTTATTTAATACGGAGTACAAGTCTAAACATAATCAATATTTTATAAGCATTAAAAACTACAAGTACAAAATAGAACATTGTTACATTTTACAATTCTTGACATAATTTACATTTTTACTAAGTGGTTTTTTAAATAAGTTAGCCTGATTATTTCCGTTTTTAACTAACACTATAGGCTCACACCTTTTCATGTCTAGTCGTGAGATCTGGAGTTAACTTTATTGTTCATGTCTAGCTATCAATCTGTCGTGCAGGCATTATCTCACCGCCTCATGCCTAGGCGCCACCTCATAGAATGCTGGTTCCAGTCCCACCACTACTCCACCCCAACTCAGCAACACTGAACTCTCGTCAATTATGACTTTGTAAGCTACCCTTCCATTTTCAATCTCTGATAATTATGTTTATATTTTATAAACTGGATGCTAATTGTTACAGCACATTATTGATTGGTTGTTACATTTATTTTCAGTTTCTTTTCTTAGTTTTTAGTATAGTCTGTTGATTGTTATTTGTTAATGAAAATTATATTTTCTAAATGTAAATATATTTTCGTTTCAGTTTTTATATACTATCGTTTTTACATTTTCTTTTTCCAGGCTTTTCATTGTTTTTAACGCATAATTGTATTTCTATTTTATAAAAGTATAGATTTTGCTTAAATTGAGTTCTTTCTCAAAAAAAATGAATTTATTGTAATCTTAACATTACATTTTGTGACCTATACCATTCAAACTTTCCGTTTGAGTTGTTGTGCAATGAAATGAAATGAATTTTTTTGCCATAGCTCATTCCAATTCCTGCCATCCGCCACTGTTTGTACTATCATATGCATTATGGTGTGGCTAAAACACCATCTTTGCTTGTCGATATTTGAAAACATACTATGCTAATTATTCAAAATAAAAAATCTACGTGGCCTGCCTGTACCAGTTCGCCAGTACTATGCAGTATACACAGATCACAAGTTCAGAAATGCTGCATAAACAACCACTTGAACACCAGCAGGAATAACGATGACATAATGTACCTTGAATTGTGCACATTGAAGGTTGGCCCGTGAAAAGAATATACGTTTAAGGCATGCATAGCTGAAGTCCACAAAGGACATGTCCTGCACATTAAATACAAAACATTGAACATCGAATCAAAACAAAACAGAGGCAGCGGAGTCTAGTCATCTTTTAAGCTCAAGTTACAATTCCATGTATTCAAGCATACCAAGTACAACCTCCGTCCCACAATTAAATTCCCAATTTGACTTTTTGAGTCAAACTTTATAAACTTTGACCGTTAATTATTCAAATGTTAATTTATTATAGATTTTATAAGTATCGATTTTTAGATATTTAGGATCAAACTTCTATCTAGAAGATCATAAAAGCCAAACTTAAATTGTGGAATGGAGGGAGTATTTTTCCTAACTTTCACAAGAGATTGTTGAATAACATCACATACGCATTCCATAGAAGTTTATAAAGTAAGCATAGTAAAGGAAGGTGGGTTGAGATAAAGAAATCTTCACACAATCACACTATGTACTAAAATAATTATAGAATATGACAACGTAGCTGAAAATGGTTTAGCTCAGCACTACTGACCAATTTAGATAGATCGAGGCCAGAAAGATTAACCCCACGGAATCTGACTCTTTCAGACTGTATGCATTTGATGATATCAGTGCGTGTCAATTCAGACACCAACTCCTCTTCCTCTTTCATCTTAAATAGTGCAGCTGTAATCCCATCAGCCAGTCCCTGAAACAAGCATGCAGATTCAAACTCAACAGAATGGAAAGTAAAAGAAAAACAATATGGCAGTCCAGCATTGTACATGAGTGCCTCACACAAAACTCTAATGTACTTCAAAGAAAGCAATTAGGCAGTTTCCTAGGCAGCAAATTGATTAAATGCACTAACTAAATTAGAATGAGTTCAGCATTTTCATGTTGCACAACCTGACAACCACTTTCTTCATTGGGAGAGTTACATTTGACACCGTAGAAAACCCCTATCACTAATGCACTTAACTAGAGATGATCTTCACTAGTATGTTTTCTTCTTTTTAACCTCCAATACCAGAAAAAGACATTTCCCTGGATATCTCAATACAGAGAAATTCTACTCCTTTCCTAGTTTGGTCTAGGCAATTGATAAATGGCAATTTAAGTGCATACTACTACTCTTAAAACAGGAAGACAAAAGAAGGATTACAAGAATTTGGTAGTACTCTGCCTCCCGCAAAAGTTCAGAATACTCAAAATCTTTCAGATTGGGAACAATCCCATCCCTCAACCAATTTAGAATATGTCGGAAGTGCTTTCCATCTCTATCAATGAAAATATATCCCTGCAACATTACAATAAAATGCAATTTAAAAAAAATATTGACCAAACTCGGAGTCATATATACTTCTGTACTTGCAAAGTTGCCAATAAAGATCATTCTAACTAAAAAACGTTTACCAAAGAAAGCATAGCTTAACTTTTGAAAGTAGCAAAAATGAAGATGTTATCAAACTTAAGGCCCAGACATTCATTAAATAGTTGAAAAACAATATGTAAAACTGTTACTAGTTTTACTTTTTACACCCCCAACTTTCAAGTGTATGTCAACCTAGATGTTTTGTATGTAGTATCTAAAGTTTGGTGTGAACTCTGAAGATGTCTTGTCTGTAGTATCACCTGAAACAAATAATCCACAGGCATCTCCCTATATCTATGCCTCTATGGGTAGTGATTCGATAGCAAGATTTTGATTATATCTCACACGATAATTGAAATAAGGTCTACACTCTTCAGTCTGCTTTATAAATCATAATTGCAGCTTCTACCTGACTACCTTGAATCAAACAAGTACTAAACACTGAACTAGGAGATTCTAGTATCACCTTACAAATATGTCTACTTTTATATATATCAAGTTAACCACATGCAGTAGAGGTTTGGCAATATGTAGTCTTCAACTACATCCAGTCCAAACAAGTGTTAACTCTGTCCCAAGCCGACCCCTACTAGCAGGTCTCTTTTTATCGAGCTAATCTCCTAAGTCTTGATCAGAAACTCATCACTATCACTCAAGCACTGTAGTGAAAACAGTGTTTGGAATTGTGCAATGCGATTGCACCTTTGAGGCACGTTGCATGTCTCAGACATATTTATAACAATTGTACCCTGGGAATATAGTAATATACCCAATAGAGGAACCAGTGAGGCTTACACAATTATAGCATGGGGTGTTGCTGATTGAGGCTTATGCCAAATGGATTATTTAATTTCGGCTCTTTATTTAGACTTTAAGAACCAGTTCTATTTTTCCATTAAGAGGTCGACATTGCCTGATAAACTTACGCGACTTTTCCTGCTCTCTCTATCTCTATTCTTTTCTGCAATAGTGATGGCTTCATTGATGATGAAGGAGATTATTTTTATCTTGACACTATGATGTGATGGATGAGATACTATGGTCTTAGACTCTTGATCCCAATTTCAAACCACTAGATACTGATAACCCTATTTTCACTCTCCAATTTAATGCATTTTTTAAGATTAGGAAATATTTGATATTAGATGATGCTTGAATTTACAATTTTGGAAGTCTTATGATCTTGTTGGAGTTCTATTTGACTATGAAGTTTCTCGAGCATTGTGATCGGTTGCAATTAGTTTATTTACACAAAAGAGGCTTACGCCTCATTGCACAACATGGCTTGCCCAGTCCGTAAAAAAACAACTCGGCACTATGCAAATTTAAGCTCAAAGTGTGGGAACGTCCAAGAACAATGACCAGTTATGTGAAAGGGTGTTTATATTATTCATAGCCAAGTAGCCAACCACTACACATAGGCAATTAGACAATGCTTTCAACAAAATTGGTGAACAAATGCGACTTCTCTTCAATGTTCCAGCAAGTATGTAGTGTAGTATGTACCTTTTCTGGGTCCTGGCAGAGAGTGTGCCGGCCACTGAACATTGCAGCAAGCATTGAGTCAGGCTCACGTTGCGTTAGGGTATCCACTGTAGTGCAAAATTTCTTTCCTCCTTCAATAAATAATTATACCCAGCAATGATGTCAAGACAGACCAAAGGTAAAAGGTTCTGAGCTCATGCTAAATACCCTTTCAATTATACGAAACCAACTATTACTATTAGTCATTCCCATTGGCCATCTCATTATCAAACAGGTGTATCACGAGGTTTTGCAGCTTCAACCCTACAAGGCCAGACCCAAAATCGTGCTTCACCATTACAGTGAGAGATGAACGGTGAAGGTACTTACCGATATTGAGACGAATCATGGAGGAAGAAGAGGCACCCGAGAAGGTCATCCCAGGCAGATTTACTGCAGTTCAGTTTAGTGTTTCTCAAGTGATCTGGGCTGTCACTCAAGAGACGGTGGCTTCTGACTCCAGGGTAGAAGCGGTTACGAACTGAAAAGGAACAAGGAACCGCACAAAAATGACGAAATTGACCCTAATATCCATATTTTTACACATTTTACAAAAATAATCTCTATTTCAAATTTTACAACAATAATCCCGACCGGTTAACTATTTTAAGAAAAAAAAACGAATTGTAAAGATGTTAAACTTTATTTTATTTTTTTATTTTATATATATTGAAGCGAAAATTTATATATAAATATTGACAATATTATATTTAAGTTCAATCTTATTTCTACTAAAAAAATAATTTAATATTCAGTATTTTTCATAAAACATAAAAGAAATATTTGAAAACTTCATAGTACACACTCTTCAAATTCTATATTCTCTTTTATTCCTTGTCCATCTTTTATTTGTATTCATTTTTGTTATCATATTGAATATTATGTAGAATATTGAATATTTAATACTTCCTCCGTTCCAAAAACAACTTCACACTTCGTTTTCCACACATATTAAGAAAATAAACTTATTGGGTGGTAAATTTTACTGTTTTGACACTGTTTGGACACTTTTTGGCACTGTTTGGCACTGTTTGACACTGTTTGGCACTGTTTTGATGTAGATAATTTGCCAAATAAGGAAGTGGGAAGAAGTGTGAAGTTAATTTTGGGACACACATTTAAGGAAAGTGGGATGTTGTTTTTGGGACGGAGGGAGTATGGATATTTCTATAATATTTTATGAAAAATATTATATATTAAATTAAATTTATCCTGGGAAAAGATTAAACTTAGATATAATATTTATTTTTATACATATTTTAGCTTTGATATATTCAAAATTTAAAAAAAAAAATAACGGAAAAGTTAACACCGTTCGCGCTCGGATTATTTTTTGTGAAACAATTAACTAGTAGGGATTATTTTTTACAAATTTACCAGTAGGAATTCTTTTTATAAAATGTGTAAAATTAGAGATTATTAATGTCAATTTCGCCTTTTAAAATTTGCAAAAATATTACTTAGAATGGACAAATATATGACCAAATTTTATTTGAAAAAAAAACAATTTAGTATCCTAAATCCACTTGCACCTCCCCTTCATTGACCATGCTTCTCTCCTTCGTCGTCTACCACCAGCACATGCCAATGAAGTCGACGGCAAATGCCAGTGAAAATGATGATGACCACTGGTGTGATGCCAAAGAGCAGTGGCACTGACGTCCTTTGACGACGAAGTAGCTTCAACTTCTTCTTTGTTGCTCCTCTTTGTCGTCATTGTTCGCTAGCTTGATCGCTCTCATTCACTTCAGCGATGAGTCGACGACGTTGAGTGTTGATGTTATAGTTTCAAATTGACAGTGGTTTCAGATATGTGACATCGATACGTGTGGAAGCGGGGGGTAGAGTGGGGGTTTTGTGCAGTGGGCTAGGGCGAGTCATACATGGGCTACGGGATTGGGGGATTGTGCAGTTGTTGGGTCAATAACGACGTCACGTCGGGGCGGGGCGGGGCAGGTTATCGTGGGGTCGGGCGGCACGGGGGCGGGTCAGGTGTTGGCAGGGGGTCGTGCGACGCTGGGGCGGGTCAGGTTGTGGCAGGGGGGTCGGGCGGCGCTGGGGAGGGTCAGGTTGTGGCAGGGGGTCGGGCAACGCTGGGGCGGGTCAGGTTGTGGCAGGGGGCGGGCGGCGTTGGGGCGGGTCAGGTTGTGGCAGGGGGCGGGCGACGCTGGGCATGTTAGTCTGTGGCAGGGGGTCGGGTGGCGATGGGATGGGTTAGGTTACGTTGTGGCAAGGGGTAGGACGGGGCTATGGCGGGGTAGGTTGTGGATAAGGTTGGGGTTTGTGATGGGGTAGGTTGTGGTTATGGTTAGTGGAGGGGGTCTGTGGTATGGGGGCGTGGGTGGTCTCACCCGGGCGGTGGCAACAGTGTCAAGAGCGGCAAGCTAAGGCAGCGGTTTCGATGTATAACATTTTCACCGGAAGAGTCACCAGATGTTTCCTTCTGTGGGATTAGTTACCACGACGGCAGTGACATCTATAAAAGGCATGAAAATCTAGCAGTAACGATTATTCGTTGACATCTATGAAAAACTGTTTTGTTTGCTTAATCTAAATGTTTATGATCTAAAGTTTTTAGATATGATGTGATGTGAATCTTTCTGATCTGGTCTGATCTTAATATTTTCGATCTGGTTGGGTGTTTATTATTATTATTATTATAACTATACTTATAAATGTAATTACAACTATAATATAATTGCAATTAAATCTATAACTATGACTTTGATTACATTATCATTATCATTGTGATTATATTACAATTTAAATTACAATTGTATGTCATTGTAATCATACTTAGTATTACAAATTTACAATCCAACTAAGCTCTACCACTATTATTAGTATTAGTACAAATAACAAGCTTCCGGATCCAAAAATAAAGTAATCTTTCTATATTCATTATACTGATTAACTAAATTAGTCACTAAGTTCGTTCACTCTGATTTAACTGCACCAAAATGAATTCTATATTACATACCTTGTTGAAAAATCTAATCTAAATTTATTAGACAACCAATCATCGAATATGCATTATTGAAAATAATTACTACCTGCGTCCCCATCAAAGATTTTCATTGCAAAATGATGATTATTAATTAGACAATAACTACATATGCTAATTTGAGTATATTTTGAGAAACAATTTTGGTGGGTATATAATATAATGTGTTATTGATAATAATTGTGACGTTATAAATGTATTATTTTTAATATTTGATGATTAAATTATTATTTAAGAGTGTTCATTGTTTTCCAAAATAGAAAATGAGAATCTTTAATTGAGACGTCCAAAAAAGATAAAAAATGAAAACCTCTAAATGAGACTCAGGGAGTACAAGTTATCCCAACTAATGGCTAGAAATAAAATTACTTGCAATAAATAACATCGATATCTTATTTTTAGATACTTTTTAAACAACTTAAGTAGTTTTTTTCTAAATCTGTTAAAAGGAGGAGTAATTTTAGTATATGACCAATCACCAAATGTTCGTATATTTTGTCTCTACATGAATCATTTTTGTAGTATGTTCTACCAGTGTCTAGAGGTGACTAAATGAGCCAAGCCGTTCGCGACTCGCTCGGCAAAAACTCGACTCGAGTTCGATCATATTCAAGCTCGACTCGAGTATTTAACGAGCCCAATTCGAACCTATTTATTTTAGGTTCGTGGCTCGCGAGCCTTGGTGTTTATATATGTGTGTGTGTGTGTTCTTGATGGATCATCGACCTAGGGGCAGCCGGAATCCGAGTAAAGTAAAGAGAAGAGTTGATTTGAAAGTTCAAGTAGATATTTTAGCAGAGTAAAAGCAAAAGAGTAGAGAAATTGATCCCTTTCCACAAGCTGGAAGGTTATATTTATACTAAAAAGGGCAATGCTTGGTGCCCAAGTAAAAAAGATGATAATCTAACGGGGAGAAGACGTGTGTCCAATCCGTTCTAACAAACTAACAGACTGAATCAATAGAGAGCCACCAACGTGTAAAGGTGGTTGGAGAGATAACGGAACAGTTGGCTGATTGGGACTGTCCCTAGCAAAATACTACATGAATGTACGTGTGGTTACGCGTGTATGGTCTGGGGTATTCTTTCTGCCCGCCGCTAAGAGTGACGTGGCCTCCTCAGAAATAATGATGACGTGGCAGCAATCTTGTGTGATATTTGTTCCTGCATTTTTGTCTAAGTCCATGATGCTTTAGTCAGACCTAGAGCTTACTGAGGTCAGTATTTGGATGTTCGGGCTCATCACGAGGGACTTCTCTGTTTGACTTCGGTTGACCCTTGCGTTAGTACTCGGGGCAAGAGTTGGTACCGAGCTCGGTGCGTTCAAGGTTGGCCTCATAACTCGTCGTGTCTGAGAGGTTCCCGAGCTTGGTAATTCTGCCGAGGTCGGGGGCTGAGGTCGGGGTCGCTTAGCCTTTGGTCCTTTGTTGTTTTGTTATTCGGTGCTTTGGCCCGACCTTGGAGACTCGGGGTCGGGGTCGACCCCAGTTGGGAACTTAGTACTTTGATCATCCTAAGGTGCCTTTGTTCAGTTCTTTAGTCGGCGATTATGATACCCCTAGGGTATATATGTATATAGGAATATACTCCATCATGAGTCCCCCACTCTCTGAAGTAAAAGTGACACTTGAGGTGAGAGAGAGTAAGTCTTCAATTTCTTGGGATGGCGCGCCCGTCAGGGGACACCTTTCTCTATCAACCGTGGGTTGATAGAAAATTTTATTTTGTAAAAGGATTTAAAGTGTGCGTGTGAAGTGCTTGTTTTTCAGATATACCTGCTTCATGCTGACCCTGATGTCATTGTGTTGTTCTGAGCTCTCCGCAGTAATGGTATTGATAGACTATAAGTCTAGAGAGAAGTGAGAGCTAGAGAGAGAAGTAGTATATTTGCTTTGTATTAATGAATTCTGACCCCCCACAACTACTCCCAGAGGGAGTATTTATAGGGAAAATTAGGGCTGGGTTCCCAAGTCTTGGGCTTGGGAGGCCCATTTACAATAGGGCCACTAATGGACCGGATACAAAGTACATAGAAAAGATTAAGTATAAGACTCTATTCTGGAGGCCATCTATGGCCGATGAGGGCATGGCCGACGAGGTCACCCGGCTCTCCCTGGCTTCTGGATCACGTTTTGAGTAGACTTCTTTCTGGCCGATGAGGGTCATCTGGCCGACGAGGGCTCCACCAGGTGGTCGTGGTACCTTCTGTTCTTCCGAGTATGTGGGCCCTGGGGTCCAGGCCCATATACTCCATCAGGTATTTTGTTTTTTGATTTTGCTTGTTCCCCACTTACCAGCCCCCCACTCTTGTGGATTTAGAAGAATTTCTAAGTGTGGAAGAGTATGAGTTTGAGGGGGAGATTTGGTGGCATGTAGTAACGCTGATGTGTACAAATAGAAATCTTTACACATTCCTTTTGCAACATATTTGTTTAATAGCCGTTTTCCGCATTTAATGCGAGGCAAGGCTTTGAAGTGACTATACGGCGCCATCATTACGCCTTTTGCGCGCTTTTGTAAAAAAAAAACCTTTCAGT